TAATCTAGCCAGTTAGTTTATTGGGGATATTTTGATGTAGGGCAGAAAAAAAAAAAAGAAATGTCAGTCCTATCCTTTATCTTATTTGTGGATGAGTTATTAGGATTTACCTCAAGACAATGCATACGTAGGTTTGGTAGAACAGAAATAAAATTTTCCATAAATTGGTAATTGTTGAACCTACATGAATACACTTCTATTCTGTCCACTTTTGCCTTTACTTGAAATTTATGTTAGCAGTGCCTTAGAAATTTTGGACGCATACATCAGCTTTGGAATTAAACACATCTGGATTGAAGACTAGCTATGTTATTTACTTGTAAACTCCAGGAAATGGCTTAACAAGGAAGTGTTTCCCCAAGGCTCATGCACTGATGGCTTGATCCTCAATGCAGCAGGGTCCGGGGGTGCACCCCAGGGAGGTGACTGGATCGTAAGGGCACTAAGCTCAGTGGTGGAGTGATGCACTGGTGAGTTCATAGCTCAGTGGACTAGCAGGGGTAGGGCCCAGTTGGAGAAGGTAGGTCACTGGGGACGTGCAGTGGAGAGGCTTCTGTTTCCATGAAATGTCTTCCCCGCATTTCCTGGAAGCCCCAGAAGTGTGCTCCAGTGTATCCCCGTACTCTCTACACCTCCCTAACTAGTGAGTTCCAAGTAGACATTTAACCTCTCCAGAAACTGTGGAGCAAGGAAGTCAGTTTGTCCACTCGTACCTGAGCGGTCCTTTGTCCATGCTGCCCTGCATCACTACTGATGGGAGCTCTGCATCGGGACCTCTGGTCATCCCTGCTCCCTGATGTGTGCAGAAATAACTCTTCCTTCTTGTTCTGGACGTTTCAGAGAGGGGATCTGTGGTCATGTGGATTTGGAAAGTTCCTTGTGAAGTGGTTGTAAAACATCCTCTACATTTGGAGACAGATAGTCCAGCAGGTGGTCAGTAACACAGTTCCTTACTGAGTCTGGGACAGCTGCTCCTGTCTGAAGCTAGAACCCCATCTTTTTTCCTGACTCTAGGTGATTTCTCCCAAGGGCCTGCCTCTGCTTAGTCTGCCTGCTTTTCCATAGTCATTGCTCCACTCACTGAGTCTGAAGAGTAGCAGAAGTTTCTGGCCCTTTGCAAACCTGGACATGTGGCTGGGTACCTGTTCATCCTCTCGGCACTCCAAGAAGTGAGAAATTCCATGAAAAGTCTGTGACAATTAATCTGGTCCCCCTTTTATTCTATATCAGCTCTTATTTTTTTCTACCTCGATACAGTGTATAGTATGGTCTTTTGCAACATATGTGAAATTTCCAGTTCATAAGAAACACCTACAATATGGAAGCTGTTACTATTATTTAGAATGCAAATTATCAGCAGTGTGAAGCCCAGAGGGTACCTTCTAACAGGCTGGGGACCCAGATATGAATTTCTCTCTTTTTTTTTCTGGCTGTTAAAAAAAGTTACATAAACCTAACATAGATTATCCTGGTGCCCTTCGAGTTCTCCTTCATGTCATTACATGTTCCTGTCTAAGATATACTATCATGGGAGGAGGCTGTTTACTGTGGTAAAGAACAGGATCAATTTAAAAATATCTTAGGAGATTTCCTGGATGTTGTCGGCCCTGTTCTTTCAAGTCATGCATAGATGCTGCATTAATCACCTTGGAGAATAAATAACATTGCCAGTTGCAAAATTGGGACATGTAGACATTGGCTGATAAATGGTTATACATGAACCTCACTGTGGTGGGTGTGTCCGTAGGTCCGTGGGTGTGGTGTACTTTTAGTTAGAAATTGCAAAAAATAAAAACACTATAAAGGACTGTAGTTTTGTTAAGGTTCTGGTAGTTCTAATCTTTGAAAGTTCAATGAAATATTCTTCCTTTCTTTCCAGAATATTTAACTGGACATTATGTCCAGTCTGTTGCTTTAAAAACATTTTTGTCCTCACATTTATTTGCATAGCATCAGCTGTCCAAAATAGGTCCAGTCATAAAAATTATACTGGTAACACAAATGTTTATTAGTAGAAGGGTTTCTGATCATAAAATCTATAACCTAAGAGACATTTAATCTTTTAGAAGAACAAAATAATCCTGACAGATGATCTGGGTCATTTAAGTGTCCTTTCCAATATCTTAAAAGTTATCTTATTATTATTCACATTTTTTTATCTTCATATTAAAAAAATAATGCTCCCTTATGCATGTGCAGGAGTGTGTGTGTCTGTGTGTGTGTGTGTGTAAGAGAGAGAGAGAGAGAGAGAGAGAGAGAGAGAGAGAGAGAAAGACAGACAGACAGACACAGAGAGACAGACAGATTTGGGGAGGGCTGTGTTTGCTGACCCAGCCCTCTCTATTCTGTGAGCACCTTGGCTCCCCTACATCAGACTCTTGCTGTCAAGTGCAAATGGGCTGGACCATGGGTTTCCATGTAAATGTTATGCAGGTTAATATTTGAATGGCTGGTGCAGGAAGGCATTCTTCCTGCTCTGGGCTGTCTATCGGGATATGTCAGATTCATGGACCTGAGCCAGGCTTCTGCATGTAAGTCTCTCATCTGGATTCTCTTTTTCTTAGTTTCTTGATTCTCCTTGATTCTGCGCTATATCTAGTAGATGATCTTTGTCACAATCTGTTCAGGTCTGACAGCTGGTATCTTGGGGCCAGGTTCTTCGGCAGGCTTGAAATGCTTGGGGTGGCTTTTGATGCTAGAGGTAAAGTACAAGGTGCAAAGTTTTTGCTGAGTTATGCCTGGCCCCTCACCCCACACCCCACAGGTATAGAAACTTTGAAGGGGAGGGGGTATTTCTTGCTTTTATTAATTAGAAACTTAAATTTGAAACAATTTGAAAAAATCCTTACTTTGGTTTTTGTTGTGAGAAAGGAAACAGTTTTGTTAGATCAAATTTATGAAATGTCAGGATTGAGAAGTGTTATTTACTGGGTTGTTGCATGATCACTGAGATGGTATTATTTCAAGCTACACATTGTAACAACTTTTTAATATGTTACTGGATATTAAATAGACAAAAGATTTTATTACTACCAAGAAATTAATGATATGGTTTTTAGGAAGTGTAATAATACTCAGTGAAACTGAAGGATAGTCAATTTCTCCAATTCTATGGCTGTATCATATATATACACTGATAAGTATATATTAATTAATCATCCAGTTTATTTAAATAATATGATAGGGCCAATGGCATTTAACCTTCTGCAGGTAATAAGGTAAAATTTCTCTCCAGGATCACCCCACCACATTAATTCTCTTCTGTGTATATTACTTTCCTCTCTCAAACACTGCTTATCAATCATAAAGTATTTGTTTTACAAATCCGTCCTGCTGGTTGACCTATGGACTCTTCCAGGACAAAGACTGTGTTTGCATGTGTCTACTCCTTAGCACCGTTCCTGCCACAAACTGGCCTGCGATAAAATTTGTAAAATTAAATAATTTTGATGTCAGGAGAGGTTTCAGTCGTGTATGACCTGACCCACAGACAGTGAAGGCAGAGATGATCTCAGTTGACAGATAATCCTAATTATTTTGATTTGATTATTCCCCAGTGTACACCTGTATTAAAACATCATGCCATACCCCATAAGGACATGCAATTATTATTTGTCAGTTAAGAATTTTGGAAATTAAAAAATTAAAGCTGATGAAGTGTGGGGAGAAAACCACGAAAGACAGAGCAATCGATGCAAACTCTTGTGCAAGCCTGTACATTTCTCTAAGCATTTGAGGCCAACACTTTGAGTTTTTGTTAATCACTGACAAGTCTAATGCAGTAGCTGGGAAGTCTTTGTTTTCCAACAGCATGATTTAAGGTATAGTTGGAGCTCAGTTCGAGGTTTGCAGTCTGGCTTCACCATTCTGATGCTGTTGGGAAACTGCTTTATGCTTGACTCTTAATTTCCTTAACCTATGATGAGTGAGTCTTCTGCTTTTCTAAACTTATTGTATAATGAGTTTGGGGAGAATTAGATGAAGTAATACATAAAAGGGTATAATGTGCTGAACAGATGCAGGCTGCTATTTATTCTAGCTACAAGTCATCTTTCGGTGGCTATGCTATTTTCTTGCATGGATTCTGAACTCTGTATGATGTACAGTATTTCTCCATAGAAATCTGTTATTGGCTGTGGTGGTTAATAAGTTCTATGTTCGATTGTGCCAATATTTTTATGTAATATTTGCCTTCATTTTTCATTGTCAGTAAAGGTTTCTCATACATCTGATTTCAGTTTTAATGTATTGGATTGAATCTTGCTGAGATAATGATAATAAAAAAACATCAGAAAAGATTATTAAAAGGAATGATTTCTTACTGTACTTTTTGATAGAAAAATAAGTATCGTATGGCAACAAAACCCAGTGTTTTAAAGTGCCCCTAAAATTCAAAATTCTTGAGAGAAATTCGGAGGTTCAAATGAGATTTTCAAAAGCTTGCACTGGCAGGCTGGTTCAGTTTTGGGAGTCTCTCTTTGAATGCCAAGTGATGGATACTGACTTAGATGTAATCCCTCACATCATTGAGCTTTGGATTAATTTTAAAATATATGATTTCTGTGACTAGAAACCTGGAACCATTTTTATCACCAGCTCCAAAATTTTAGGTTGAGTGATAGTCCCATAACAAGAAACATGGTATGCTTAATGAGAGAATGTTCTGCTTAGAAAAAAAAAACTTACATTCATGAAATAAACTCATTCTGCCCTTTGAGTTTAGAATTTGTTTTGCTCCAGAATTTATCAGGTTTTCTTTAAATACTAGACTGGTCAGTGTACTTAAAATTGGATATTTTTCTAAGGGCAGCTTTGATGAAGTATGAATATCAATATGCCCTATCCTTCCCCCATCCTCTCCAAAAAAGAGGAATAGATGTGAGTTCATTTAGAACTGTATGCAAATGTTTGTTTAAAACAACCTTTCTGAAATGGAAAAGTGTCAAGTCGTTGAATTTCAATTGTTGAACTTCAATCCTCTTATTTTTTTTCCCCTTTAGGAGAATGGTGTTGAACGCTTGCATTCTGAGAACCTGTCACAGTCCAGGTAGGCTGTGTGTGATATACGTGTGCAGATTTCTACTCATGCTGGTATTCAGCTGGCAGTTAAGAAAATGTTTTGGACTTGACATTCCAAACGATCTCTTCTACTCTTTTGGCAGGGAACATCTCGTACTACCATCGCCTGAGCATGCTTCATCCCCAGAGAGCACTGTAACTTCGAGTGGTGAGTGGGCTTGGAGGAGATGGGAGGACAGAGGAAGGTGATTTGAAGCCTCCTGTTCAGCAGCCTGCTGAGGAGTGTGCAAATGACAAGAGTACAGGCAAATTCTTTTTTGCATGGTATCTGTGCTATTTCTTCCTGTTGGTAGATGCTGGATCAGAAAATTTGCATATGGCTTCAGATGACCTTGACTGCAAATCACTTTGCGAGACCCAGCAGAAAGCAAAGTCAGCATCTACCACGATGGAGATCCAAGGTAAGCTGGGCGTAGGTTTCAGTGTGGGTTTTATTTTGAAATACTCAACCAAGCTGTAAGCTAATGATGTCGCTTATCTTCTGTGGCTCAATTATGTTATTTCATTTAATTTTTAGAAAAATCTTTTTAAAAATTATGTTCATCAGTACACTTTGGATATACATAATGATCACATTCAGCATAGGGAATCCTTACCTGTACGTAATATATGTTGATTTTTCTTTTTTCCCCAATGGCCTCCTCTCCTTTTAATCCCTCTTCACCTCCTTGTGTACAAAAGCTTTGTTTCTGTTTTTTCCTTTTATTCTTTTTTTCTTTTCCTTTCTTTCCCCCTCCCTCCCTTGTTCACATTCCCTTTTGAACATTTTCTACCCCTTTTCCATTATCTGTTACACATTTTGGTCTTTACCCTTTTGTTTTCTCATACCAGATAAACAGTGCAGTATTTAAACGTGTATTTGATTTATTTGACTTAAGATGTGGTCTCAACCAGGCGTGGTAGCTGTAATCTCAGCAGTTGGGAGGCTGAGGCAGGAGGGTTGCTGTGAGACTGAGGCCAGCCTAGGCTACGTAGTGAATGCAAGGCCACCCTTACCTACACAGTGAGACTGAGTCTTGAAAAACCAAACAACCGAAACCAAACAAACAAATAAAAAAAACCAGAGAAGTAGTGTCAACATGAGTTCATTTACTGAGGAATGTCTCAAGTTAATTCCTCTTTATAGCAGAGTTAGAAAATAATTCTTATAAAAATCTTCTGAAGGGATAATCTAAGAAGTAATGATGACCTTTGTGTTGAAGATACCACTGTTTTTTAATCTCCAGTTTTGTAGACAGAAGAAAAGATTGACTAGACACGTGTGAGTCTCAGCTGTAGCACAGATGTGATTTGACATTATTTCCTTGGGAAATTTAGAATTTTATTTAGAATCTTACTGGATTAGACAGATGGATCAGTCGCTGATGGTACACTCAAGTGGTAGCAGAATTAATTAAATGATAAGTTAGATTCTATTTTGCTCCTTTACTATGAAAGCAAGATATCTATTCTCACATATCTCCAGTGAGACACCGCTAGAGTTGATGCTCATGTTAAGTGTATGCTTCCATTCCTACTGAAAAAAGGTCATTCTGTTGTTTGAGTTCAGCATTTAAATTTGAGATACAAAGTGTTAAATTAAAATGCCCATAAAATTTCAGAAATTCAACCATTTTCTTGGGCTAACTGAAAAAATACTACACACCAATTAAGAAAATGTTTTAATTGAAACTGTATCAATACCATTTTTTCATCTGTCATCTAGACAAAGATGCAAATATTTGATAACATTCTGTTGGTAAGGTTGTAGAGAGCAAAGGAATTTTCACAGAAAATATAAATTTTTGTAGCTATCGTATAGAGAAACTTACCTATCAAAATGTAGCCCTCTGATATACCAATTCCATTTTGGGGAATTCATCCTATAAATATAGATAAACATGCAAAATGATGTATGCATAACTTTATTACAGCATTGTCTGAAATAAAATACTGGCAACAAATTATTGATTAAAAGCTACTTTAGCATATCAATGTAATAGGATATTTAATATACAGGCAGAAAACATGTATAAGGAGATTTTTTTTACAATGGATGTTACATATAAAATGCAAAATTTAGTGGAAAAAAACGGAAAGTTCTTAATGTGTACACAAAATATATCTGAAAGGAGAGATAAAAATTACTAACAATTTAGGGAAGAAAACTGGGTTTTTGGCAGACATAGATCAAAGGGAAGTTTTTCCTCTATTAAACATTTTATACTTTTTGTTTGATGGACCTTTCAAATCTACCATCTGTCTTAAAATTTAAAAAACTGAAATAAAGTCTTCTAAGGGAAAATTATGTATCTCTTAAGAAGCGGGTGACCAAACAAAAATGAGTGACCATTTTGTTCTTTTTCTGTATACATTTAAAAAATATTAAACAGGTTTAATAAATATTAAATATAAAATAGGTTTTGAATGTATTTTCTTCTTAAAGAAATCAGCCTCGCCCTGTCTGTAGCTTCTGATCTCTGAGGCTGAGCCCAGCTAAATGCAGAACAAAGAGTTATGTGCACAGGAGAATAATTACTGACCCTGCATTTCAGTGCAACACGCACATGAAATTATGAAAGGGAATTTAAAAGCATACCTTTTCTTCTTAAGTTTGATAACATTATATTTAGGAAGAAACTGTGTTTTATTAGGATATTATATTTGTTATCAACTTTGCATATAGTCTTATGCCGCTGAGCTAAATCCCCAGCCCGCATATATATTTCTTAACCCATTTGCCAAGCTACAAAAAAGCTAATGCTCCTAATTTTCAATCTTTTCTACTTCCAGTTACTATTATTAGATCCAGTAATGTGTTTCCGTTTTTTTAAAAGTCTGCCTTAGCTTTTTCTTTTATTTTTTTCCAATCCATTGGAATTTATTTTTATTTTTAAAGAGAAACCAGAAAAAACAAAAAAGAAACAACAGCAACAGCAAAAAAAAAAAACCCAAACAATAGCAGTATAGGATTTCAAGACACGATAGGAATTTAACAATAGTTGTTACATTGCGTATTGTTATCCTCAAAAGATTTCCTCAGATTACCAGATGTAGGCATACAAAGTTGATCAAACAGTATGAGCACTGACTGTTCTTTTCCTTAATTAACAGAATTAGTAGTACAATTATCTTAGCTATCTTGTGTATATAGACCCCTATTTATTTTTTTCCTTTTCCTTTCCTTCTTTTCTCCTTTCCCTCATTCAAGTTGTTCTTTCTTTTGAGCAGTTTATATTATTTTCACAGTATCTGTTGTACTTTTGGATCTTATTTAATCTTTTAGTTTCTTACACTGATACAATATGGTGTTTACACATGTTAGTCTGATTTATTTCACTTATAAGCATAGAGTAGTCTCAAGCAGCATCCATTTACCTGTAAAAGTCTCCAGTTTATCCTCCTTTATAGCTGAGTAGTACCCCATTGTATAGAAATTCCACATCTTCTTTATCCATTCCTTGGTTGATGGCATTTGGGTTGTTTCCAAGATCTAGCTATTACAAATGTACTGCTGTAAACATGGGTACACATATATCACTGTGGTATGACGTTTCTATTTCTTCTGGGTAAATATCCAGAAAAGAAATAGCTGGATTGAATGGGACCTCTAGTCCTAGTCTTTTGAGGAATCTCCACACTGATTTCCACAGTGGTTGCACCAGTCTGCACTCCCACCAGCAGTGGAGAAGGGTTCCTTTTTCCCTACAGCTCTGCCAGCATTTGTTACTGTTTGATTTCTTCATGACAGACATTCTTTCTGGAGTGAGATGGAATCTCAGTGTTGCTTTAATTTCTTGAATTAAAAATGATGTGGAACATTCTTTCATATATTTATTCTTCATCTGTATTTCTTCACCTGAGAATTATATATTCATTTCAGATGCTCATTTTTGGATCGGGTCTTTGAATTTAGGGGGTTTGATTTTTTTTCAATTGTTTATATATTATAGATAGAAGTCCTTTGTCTAAGGGACAGTTGGAAAATTTTTTCCCAATCTGTGGGATTTTTTTTTTCAACTGTTAGTGATTTCTTTTGATGTACAAAACGTTTTAATAAGATGAGATCACAGTTGTTGATTCTTTGATATTTCCCATACAGTTTGGGTTTGTTCATGAACTCCTTGCCTACTCCTATGTAGGCCCTGTGTCTTTTAGTATATTTAGTGTTTCTGTTTTAATATTTAGATCTTTGGTCCATTGTGACTTTACTTTAAAATGGACAAAAGTGCATGGTGATAGGCATGGGTCTAGTTTAAGTCTTTGGCATATGAAAAGCCAGTTTTCCCAGCACCATTTATTAAAGAGACAATCTTTCTTCCAGTAAACATGTTTGGCTTCTTTGTCAAAGATAAGGTGGCTGAGTGTGTTTGTAGTTGTGTCTGTATCTTCTATTCTGTTCCATTTATCCTCAAGTCTGGTAATTTTGTTGTTGTTGTTTTGCCAATACCATGCTGTTTTTATCACTGTATCTTTGTGGTATAATTTCAAGTTAAGGACAGTGATGCTTTTTGTCTTGCCTTTGTTGCCTGAGATTGTGTTTGTTATTCTAGGTCTCTTCTGTTTCTAGATGAATATTAGGAATGTTTTCTCTAGATCTGTGAGGTATGCTAATGGTATTTTGATTGGGGTTGCATTAAATCTGTACAGCAGTTTTGGGAGTATGACCATGTCCACAATATTGATTCTTTTGACCCATGAACAGGGATATCTTTCAGTTTTCTGAGATTCTCTTCAATCTCCTTTTTGAAGAACTGTAATTTTCAATATATAGATCTTTTACTTCCTTTGTTAGATTGATTCCTAGGTATTTCATTTTTTTGGATGCTACTGTGAAAGATTTTCTCTCATTTCTCTCTCAGTGACTTTGTTGTGTACAGGAATGCTATTGATTTTAGAGGGTTGACTTTGTATACACCTACATTGCTGAATTTGCTTATTATATCTAGTGGACTTTTGGTGGAGTTTCTATTAGAGTATCATGTCCCCTGCAAATAATGATAATTTAACTTCTTCTTTTCCTATCTGTATTCCTTTTATGTCTCGCTTGTCTAATTGCTCTGGCTAATGTTTCCAGAACTCTATCGAATAGGAGTGGTGATAGTGGGCTTCCTTGTCACAGAGACACCACACCCTCTGGATTTCCAGGGAAATGTTGTTAGAGATCGTGGAGAGCCTGAATATTCAGCTGCAGGCTGCCCTGTGCCATGGAAGAGTGAATAGTGGTCAAGATGCCCTTAGGAAATGGATGGTAACTGGCTTTTCAAAAGTAATGATCTTCCAATACTATAGCCATTTCTGTTGAGTACTCCTCAAAACTGTCAAGGTCATCAAAAGCAAGGAAGGTCTAAGAAATCGTCACCGCCAGGAGACACCTCCAATGTATCCAGTGAGATTTCAACTGAGATACCTTGTGTAGTTTGCCACACAACAATTCATGGTGACACCTTGAAGGCTGAAATGCAGTCCCAGTAGACCCCACTGCCTGTCTTGCCCGTTTGCCTGTTGCATGCTCCAGAGGGGAACAAGGCAGAACTTTTATTTTTTAAAGCAGCCTCCTATTTGAACGGGCATTGTCTTGGTCAGCTGTCCCTTGCTGGGAAAAAAATTCCAATACCTGCAATTTAAAGGCACAGAAGTTTATTTGGCTCACAGTTTTGGAGGTATACAGTTAACTGGTGCCAAGAAGAAACATCCCAGCTAAAAAGCCTGGCGGGGAAAAGCTGCTAGATCCATAGCAGCCAAGAAGCAGAGAGGGAAGGAAAACCTGGAGAGGCAGGGGTGGCAGACCCGATATGGTCCCCAGGGCCAGCTCCATGAGCCACTTCCTTCAACTAGGTCCTACATCCTCCTTTCTGTCTCTCCCAATAATGGCATCAAATCATAATCTCTCCACTGAAACAGTCTACACGTGCAATGAAGAGCTTCAGAATTCCAGTCATTCCCCAAAGCATATGAGTAAGCAATCTTTCAGCATAATTAGTGTTTTCTAGACACACACTGGATTCCAAGCATAATGACCCTTCATACAGATATTCATTTCTGTTGGGAAATATTCCATGCCTTGGTTTTCTTGTGGGTCTCCATTGCTTCATCCCTGGCTCGGAGGCCACAGGTTTTTATAGTATCTAATTTGTCTCACACGTTAAGGCTTTTTCCATGGACTGGTCTGTCCTTATTGCTGAACCCTCGGTTACTTGTTAATGCTCCTCCAGCTGTCTTCCATGTTTCCTTTTTGTTCTAGGCACCAGTTCAACTTATGAGAATATTGCATGCCAAGACACCGTGACCAAGGAGAAAACTGTGTCAAATCTGGTAAGGAACTGAGCCCACGTCAACCTTTCAGTGCCTATGGTTCCATTTTTGGAACACCCATGACAGCGGATGATAGTAAAATTTTTTTCTCTTCACATTCTTGTTCCTTGAATTTTAAGTAACATATACGAGTTTCATGCATCATTTCCAAACCTTGCAATCTTTGGCATAAATGGGCCAATACTAAAAGTGAAGTTATACTACAGTGTCAGAACTGTTTTTAAATTTGCAAAGTACAATCAGAAGTACTTTATCTTTTCAAAATATTATGGGATGAGTAGAATATAATTATATCATATTTTATAGATAAGTCAAGGCCACAGCATCCCTGAGATTTGTCCAAGGTAACACAATAGAAAAAGAACTAAGCTTCAAATTGATTTTTCACTGAATCATTTACTCGTATACATCAAAGAGCTATCAGAAGTAAGCTAAATATCTCTCAGTAGAAGATTGCTTAAGTAAATTATCCTTTAATGAAGTAAACAGTACTATACTAAGTAAACACTACTAAAACAGTAGTGTCTGTCTTAAAAGTGAGTTCTAGTCAGGTATGGTAGCACACACCTGTGACCCCAGCACTTGGGAGGCCAAGGCAGGAGGATTGCTGTGATTTCAAAATCAACCTGGGCTACATAGTGCATTCAAGGTCAGTCTGAACTACATAGCAAAACCTTGTCTGTGTCACCTACACACATACAAATCTAATCAGGTGAAGAAACAGATAATTACCAATACTTAGAGGGTGATATATGATATGAAAAATTACGAGGGATGGAAGCCCAGAAATAGCATCAGAGCAGAGACATCATGTGAGTGATATTGAATGTTCTACAGTCCCACGGCAAAGCCTTATAAGCCTTTGCAAGGATAGCTATCTCCTTTCATAGAAAAGAGTTCTATGAAAGAGATTTATTGCCATTTGCATGAGTTAATATATAGTTATTAAAGTTAACTTAACAATGGGTCCAGTTTCACAATTCTTCAAGGGTATCACTTATTGTTAGAATCTCTTGTGTACATGTGGAGTTTTGTGCATATTACTGCTTTTATTTATTGCTTTTAGCCCAGTATGTAAACATTGCTGTAGGGAGGCCGATCTGGCAGCAAGTTAGTAGAGACCCATGCAAACTGACATAAGAGATGATGGCATGGATGCATTCGGGCAACAAGGTAGATAAAAAATGTTACAGCATTTCAGGCTGAAGGAAGTAGGATACTTGGATTTGTGACTGAGAATTATGCTTTGATGTGAAGTACAGACAGGGTGTCATGTTGGCTGAAAGTCGGTCCCCCTATAACTAATGGACAGAAGGGAATTCCCTGCTTTAATTTTCCATAGTAGTGTCTGCTGAGAAAAAATTTACTCATCTAAACAAATAGACACAAAGACATTTTAAGAAAGAATAGATTTAAAAAACATTGCAATGGAGGTCGTAGGACTGAGGAGGATGTGATTAGAATAATTCAAATGGGAGGAGAAGGTAGTTTGAGCTTGGTGAGGCTGGGGAAAAGGAGATTAGACTGATGTATTTAGGGGGGAGAGTTGCTATCAGTGTGGGAAAAGGGAACTACTCAGGTTTATGGTTTAACTGTAGGAAGGAGTAGAGCAACATGAGAAGGAGGCAGGAGGAAAAGCATAATGTGTGAGGCAAAAGCAGACCAAGAGGAGAAAAGTCCAGCTTCAGGTCGATGTGAGACACCAGCAGCCTTCATCGTTTTCCACGCAGCTGTGTTTCCATCTGCAGGGAAACACATGTCTGTGAGTTAGCAAAAGCAACAAATACAATCACGTGTGTGGGTGAGATTTCCAAGGACCCTGAAAGGCAGGAAGAAGGAGCACAGGGTCACGGAATTGTGACGAGCAGCTTCTGTGAGAGGAGGCCAGGGCGGAGCAGATGAATGAAGGGCTGTGGAAGCAACATGGCGCCCATCATGAGAAGAAAACAGAGAAGCAAACATCTTCAAGGTTGAGGACGTTAGGGGCTGGGGACATAGCTCAGTGGTGTAGTGCCTGTCAGGTTGTGTTTGATTCCTGGTACCAAAAAAGGAATGTGTAGTTGTTTTTGCTTTTTGTGTGTTTGTTAGATGTGAGGTCAAGTAAGATAAAGACCGATGGTTACCCATTGGATTTGGCAAGAGGCAGCTCATGGCTGACAGATGAGAACAGTTTGGGTGGAGTGTGGTCTAGGAGCAGAGGAGCTAGTTGGATCACAATGGAGGTAAAGAACCAGAAGCAGCATCCAGCAATGGGCCATGCAGATCTGGAGAAGAAAGAGCTGGTGCTGAGGAAATTCATGAGCTGGAGGGGATTCCAAAATGTGAAGAGTGTTTGCATGATGATGAGAGGGAGCCAGTGTTTTCCCTATATTGTTAATGTTTGTTACATTTCACCAAAACCTTTACTTCAGTTGTCTAAAAATGATAGGACATGGTATCAATGACTCGACCAAGGATATTTTTTTTCTTTCTTGCTTGCTTACTTACTTTTTAATGGGAAATTTCTTTGGTTTCTTAAATTTCTCTACTCATCTAATATTTAATAATATTGTATAATGGTGGCATAGGTAAAGTTTTCCTGGTAGATTTTGCTGGGTAGTGCAAGACAATCCTGTTTTGATGGTGACTCTTATGCAGATGCATTTGTTTAAGACCTAAAAATATCTGATGTGGAATTAAAGCCTCACATAGCACAGTCTTAGCTGTTAGCTCTGTCATAACTCCTTCCAGAGCCCATAGGAGAAACTGGCTGTGCTTCCTCCATCCAGCCCTCCTGCCCCCCGCAGAGACTGCACATGCTTCTCAAGCACTGTTATCTCTCCAATCAGAACACTTGCCTATCTATGCCTCATTTATTGGGCAGCCAATCCTAGTTTGCTTTGTGTTAACCTGTATTATGTTTGCAGCTTTTCATACCATTACATTCTTTTTGCCTTACTAGACTGGAAGTTCCTTTGGAGCCAGTGGTTTTCCCCCTAACTCTAATTACAGTTCCCTGAGTACTACAGAAGGCTTTCCATTCTGTGTGTAGCAATAACATTTCCTTATGATTTTAGGAAGCCAAAGAGGTGCCCAAAACAACAGAAGAACATAGAAAAGAATGTGCTGCAGGAGGTAAGAGGTGTTTTCTTTCCAACCCAGATGAATTTTTGCTCCCCACTGATATTTTTTAGATGTGATCTTCATGAGTAAAGCTATGCCACCTGCACAATCTGGAACCTTTGTAGGACATCAGCCAGTTAGATTCAGTGTTGACTCCACTTTGCAAAAACCACATTAAGGCACTGCATTGGCTCTTCGATCCTGGATGACTTGTGATAATAACTAGTACTCCATTGTGAACTTGAAACGAAGCTGGTATTGTAGTAAATTCTGTGCTCTACTTCTTGACTTCTTTTTCAATATCCTATCTAAAAGTAAATGAGCCAGTATTTACAAAGTAAGAGCTGATACGCCTTTCTCCACAGCGTGTCTTCGTTAAAATGGATCAGTGGAGAGAGTTCAAGCTTCTGAGTTACACAAACTCTGGGCTGGGTCAATCTGTTACCAGCTATGTGATCTCAGAAAGTTACTGAACCTGAATTTCAGTATTGTCATCTGCAAAGCTGAAATGATGAATTAAAAATACATATACTATAATGAAGACATACTGTAGGCTAAGTATTAGGCTAAATTCTTTGTGCACACAGTTTCATTCAATTCTCCAACTATATGGTGAAAGTAACTTGTGACTCAGTTTTCTAGTCTGGAAAGATAGAAAATATGGTAACAGTAACACAGAAGGTTTGCTGCAAGGGTTGAATAAATTTATATAGATTTCCCAGCACAGAAATTATCATAAAAGTTACAAAAATATCATAAATATCATAAAAATCATATTATAGATGGCTTAAGGAGATTGTGACTATTTGAAGATCACTTATCTGTAAGAGTCAAAGCTCAAACTAGGTGTGGTGGTCATACCTGCAATCCCCGCACTTAGGAGGCTGATGTAGCTGCATCTCTGAGTTTAAGATAAACCTGCACGATCCATAAGTTCAAGGCAGCCTGTGGACTATATAGCAAGAGCCTGTCGCAAAAAGTGAGTCAAAGTTTGGGACTGGGGATTTAGCTCAGTGACATAAGCGCCTGCCTTGCAAGCAGGCAGTTGTGAGTTCGATTCCCGGAAAGTTCATGTTTAAGTGTTGTCCAGCCAACATCTTCCTAAATGGAGAGAGCTGTAAACTCTAAAATCAGAAACAAGACAAGGATATCCATCACCACCCTGTTCAGTATAGTTCCTGAAACAGAGTGAAAGCAGTTAGCCAATAGAAAGGGAATGTAGATAAGAAAGGAAAAAGTTAAATTATTATGTGCAAATAATATAATCCTTTACTTAAAAAACCTCCCCCAAACCACCAAAAGATTTCTGGAATTAATAAACAAATTCAGTAGCTTAGCAGGATACACTCAAAAATCAATAGCATTTCTATACCCAATAACAAAACTCCAAGACAAAAATTACTTTTCACATAGTATCAAGAAAAATTAAATACTGAAAGATTACTGTAATCAAGGAAGTGAAACACCTCTACAATAAAAACTATAGTACTCTGAAAAAGGAGATTGAAGAGAATATCCAAAAATGGAAAGCTATCGCCTGTTCCTAGATAGGCAGAGCCAGTAAAGTAAAAATGGTCATACTTCCAACACTGTTACACAGATTTAATGCAACCCCAAACAAAATATCAGTAGCATTCCTCACAACTATAAACAGCAATCCTAAAGTTCATATGGAACCAGAAAAGCAAAAGAAATTCTGGGCAAAAAGGGCAAGGCAAGAAGCATCACCATCCAGACTTCAAATTATACTACAAAGCTACAATGATTTTTAAAAAAAAAAACAGTATGGTATTGGTAAAAGACTTGTAGAGCAGTGGAGAAGAACAGAAGATGCATAAATAACATCAGACACACGAAGCTACCTTACCTTGAGTAAGGGGCCAACTTCTTTTGCTGGAGGAAAGACAATCTCTAGCAAATGGTGCTGGGAGCACTGCTTAGCCACAGACTGAAAATTGAACCTAGACCCATATATCTCACCATGCACCAAGCTGAAATCAGAATGGTTCAGAGATCTAAATGTTAAAATAGTTTTCTGGAAGACAAAAGAGGTAAAATTCTCAAAGACATAGGTACAGGCAGACTTTCTGAACAGAACCCCAGTTTTATAAGAAATAGTAGCAAGAATCAACAAATGTGATCAAATAAAATTTTAAAATCACATCAAATTAAAAAGCTTCTGTACAGCAAAGGAAACCAGCAATAGAGTGAAGAGACAATCTACAAATGGGAAAGAATGTTGGCAGCTACTTCTCAAAGGAATACTATATAGAATATAGGAAGAACTGAAAAAAAATAGACTTACTAAATTTAAAGACCCAGTCAAACAGTGGGCACCTGAAATAAATAGAAACTTCTCAGACGAAGAAGTACAAATGGCCAATAAATACATGAAAAAATGTTCAGCATCGTTGACCATTTGAGAAAAGTAAATTAAAACAATTGTGAGATTCCATGTGGCTTCTAAAACAATGGCCATCATCAAGAAATTGACAGTAGCAAATGCTGGAGAGGCTGAGAGGGAAAAGGAATCCTTCTTCATTGTTGGTGAGAGTGTAGACTGATCCAGCACCATGGAATTCAGTATGGAGATTCAAAAAAGAAAAGCAAAACAAAGCTAAGACTAAACATTTTTATTTGACTCAGCTATTCCTCTTCTATGTATCTTCCCGAAAGAGTCAGCATCATATTATAGTGATACATACCCATTTTATAGCAGCACAATTCATAATAGCTAAATCTTGGAAGATGCCAATTTGTCCATCAACAGATGGATGGATAAAATATGGTATTTATGTACAATAGAGTACTACGCTGTCACAAAGAAGGATTAACTTGAGTTTATCCTTCATTTGTAGGAAAATGGGTACACCTTGAGGCCATCATGTTAAATGAAATCAGATATACAAGCTTAAGTGTTGTGTGGTTTGTCTTATATGAGAAACTCAACATATAAATAAATTACAAAATAAAAGATAGACAATAGGGAAAAAAAGGTGTAAAAAGTTATTGTAATCCAATATGGCCAATCTATCTGAAAGTTTACCTTGATTTAGTATGATTGTCTTATGTGTTTTCTGATTTTTGGCATGTTTGTATGGCTACTAATCTGTGTTTATGACTATTAATTTGAGAAGGACAGGAAAGAAATGAATCTGTTGCTGGCAAAAAATACTTTTGAAATAGGGGTGGAAGGGAAGGGTGAATAATCGAGATGTGTTATGGACATGCCAGTTCCCCACAATGAATGAATGTGTTATGTGTTGCAAACATGTACAAATAAAAATGAAAAAATTTAAAAATAATCCAAATCAATCAGATGTTGTCAACTTTAAAACGATTGCTCTTAATATATGTTGTGCTTTGCAAAGGTGTTATAAAGAAAATAATATTATGTGTAGAGAGCTTTGTCCTGAGACTGGCATATAGTAAGTCTGTGGTTGATGCTGTGTTTATTGTTACTGTTATTGTTACCAGTATTATTATCTTATCACTACCATTAGTACTGTTACTACTCCTATTACTCATACTGCTGCTGCTGTTAGAGTCTCCATCCACAGAAGGATCAGGTAACAAAAGAAGGCATTCATTTAGTCCTGGGGTCTAATATAACAGACATTCAAATATAAAGAGGGCACCCTGGACTGTCCCTGGACTCTCAGACAGCTTTAGGTTTCAAAGACTATCCGGACTCTGTGGTTTTCATGTTGTGATCCCAACAGCTTAGCATAACAATATCTTATAATTTCAGCAGACACATGAGCTATTATTTTGGATATATTTAAATGCAATAACTTTGTTAATAAAGACAAGGCATGGTAGCAATTTGATGGAAATGTGCTTTTAGGTTTTTTCGTTAAACATAAGCTTCCTTAATGGTTCCATTTCAAGATAAGCAAAACAAACACCTTATTGCTGTTTGGCATCTTGGTCTTGAGTTTCACCTTCCATTAATATGCCATAGGCATCACTGTGGCTCATCTCATGGTGGGGACAGGAAGCAGAGGATGTGAAGCCTTTTTAACCAATATTTTTTTTGTTATCTTTTAATAGAAACTGAGGTTTCCTCTCCTCCGGTAGCCACTGGGAGATCAGTTAACTTTAGACAAAGTGACAAGTAAGCTTTTTTCATGTTGCAACTTAACATTTTTCTATTTTACTTTGAATTACGTTTGAATAAATTCTTTGTCTTATCCCACAGCACTTCTGCTAATGAGAAAGAGGTGGAGGTGAGTGGAAAGCCTGCATTAAAAAAAAAGTGTTTCAGACTCTCCTGCTAAGGTTGCATCATGCTTTTGCATACATGTTCGTATGTTTGGCCTGATAGCAACTAAGTGCCTGCATGTAAGGCCCGTGTATGTTAGCACCAGGAGACTGGGAGAAGGAAGCAATAGCTTGGTCTAATCTGTGTTAAACTGAAATATTTGATCACATCCAACTTGCTCTCCTCTCCTTCACATTATTTGGACAACAGGCAGAATTTCTCAGATTATCTTTGGCATTTAAGTGTGACTGGTTTACACTGGAGAAAAGAGTGAAGCTTGAAGAGAGGTCCCGTGACTTGGCAGAAGAAAACCTGAAGAAAGAAATCACCAACTGTTTAAAGCTCTTAGAGGTGAGGATCAGAACATCCAGGAACTATACGTGTGGTCATGTTTTAATGATGTCTTGATAGCTACAATACTGGTTTACTTCAGTAACTAAAATCACAGTGCGAGTTACTTAAAAAAAATCACAGGCTATGCCTGACCCACTTGAGAGTTAATGAAAAGAAAAACTTCAGGGTTAGTGTAAAATAAAAGTTTCAGTAATAGGAAGTATCAGAAATAAAATCTTATGCAACCTCTATTTTCCTTCTGGATTTTCAAATAAATTTCAGGCAGAAGAGCAATTGCACAGGAAACTGAACAATAAGAGATAATATCAGGGCTGGGGTAAATTTAGCTCAGGGGCATAAGCACCTGCCTGGCAAGTGTGAGGTCACGAGTTCGCTCCTCAGTACTAAAAATGATAATATCAGTTTTAAGTTTCATGAAAAATCAAATATTTCCTTGTCTGATTAACTGGAAAAAATAATGTGACTGATGTCAGTCTTATGAGATCGTGTGCAAGCCCACGGTAAAGTACCAAAAAACCAAGAAGCGTACACGGCAGGGTAACAACTAGTACCCTTCATCCCGTGATGTTGGTATGTGCTTAGAGATCGGTCTGGAAAATAAGGAGCTTGATTTTAGAGGAAGAAAATTAAAACTGAGAAACCATTTATATTAAAATGTAACATCGTGATAATTTTCCTCCATTCCACAGCTCCTGGTAAACCACCCTTCCACTTTATACTTCTATGAATTTGATTACTTTAGATATCTCATATAAGTTTCTACGAGTCCTATGATATTGGCCTTTCTGTAATGGGTTTATTTCACCTAGCATAATGTCTTCCGGGCTCATCTGTGTTATAGCACGTAACAGTACTGCCTTCCTTTCTAAGGCTGAATAACAGCTACTGCATATATAGATACACACAATGTATGGGACGTTTTGCTTACCTGTTCATTCACTGATGGGCATTTGGCTTGCTCCTACGTCTTAGCAATTGGGAATAGCTCAGCCATAAGTATGGATATACAAATATCTCTTCCAGACTCTGCTCTTATTCCTCTTTGGTGTGTATTAAGAAGTCGAATTTCTGGATCATATAATAATTCTATTTGCAGTTTCTTGAGAAACCACTGTGATGTTCCCCACAGCAGCTGCACCATTTTACACTGCCACAAACAGGCAGTCTCCAGCTTCTTCAGCTCCGCGCTAACACTATCATTTTCCATTTATTTCTATGGTTGCCATCCTGGTGGGAACAGGGTGGCAGTTTGTGGTTTTGATTTGAAATTCTCAGTGCTCATTGACCAATTGTGTATCACTTTTGGAAAGATGTTATTCAAATCCTCTGTCCATTTTTAAATTACTTAAATTTTTCTATTGTTGAGTTGTAGGAGTTCTTGACATATTTTCCATGTTGATCGCTTTTCAGCTATAGACTTAAAAATATTTTCTCCTTTTCCCTGGGTTATATTTCACTCTGGTGATTGGGTCCCTGGGTTATCCTTCACTCCCGTGATTGGGTCCCTAAAGACACTTATAAACCTGATGTGGTCTCATTTGTTTATTTTCATTTTTATTGCCTGTCCTTTGATAGCCTAATCCAAGAAATCATTGCCAAATTCAGGGTCAGGAAGATTTTCCTCTGTTGTCTTCCAGAATTTTCTAGTTTAGGCCTCACATTTGGGTCATCAATCCATGTTGAGTGAATTTCTGTGTGTGGCATAAGGGTTCAATCTCATATTTTTCAATCTTTGCAACACTACTTACTGAAGAGAGACCTTTCCTCATTATGCATTCTTGGCACTCTTGTTGTTGATCATTTGATTGTAGATGTGAGGACTTACTTTAGGACTTCTTATTATAGTCCACTAGTCTATATATCTTTTGGCAGGGGCTGAGGTAATAAGGATTGAATACATGGCCTTTATTCTTTGTTCTCCAAGACTTTTGTTTTTAAATCACTAAATCACTCAGGCTGGGCTCCAACTTTCCATCCTGCTGCTTCAGCCCCCCAGAGTGCTGGAATTACTAGCATATGCCACTACACCTAGCTCATGCTTCTTTTAAAAGCCTAAAATAGTAATAAATTTCACTACCAAACAGCTGTATGGGCTGAATAAAATGTCAAGTTGTTTGCTTTGACTTAAGTGTTTTTTGTTGTTTTTGTTTTTACAGTGCTAAGGATTGAACTTGGGTCCTTCCCGCTGAGCTATGTCCCCACCCGATTTTTATTTTTTATTCTGTGACAGGGTATTGCTAAATTACTGCATTGCCCAGACCGTGTTGGAATTTGCTATCTTTTTGCCTTAGCCTCTCTGAATGTTGGGATCACAGAGTGTGCCACCATCCCTAGCTTTGTATCATTTTTTATGCCAGATTTCTAGAAGGATTGGCTTTTTTTTTTTTTCTTCTGAAACAGGGTCTTTCCATTTGGTTCAGATCACTGTGTAGCCCAGGCTAGCTTGGAACTTGAGGTGATTCTGCCTTTGTCTCCCAAGTGCTGGGGTTACAGGCATGTACCATCATGCCCAGCCATTCATTCATTTTTTTCTTTCTTTTTTAAAGTTTGGTAGAATTCCCTAGTGAAATCCCTAGGCATTTCTTTGTTGAAAGGTTTGGATTACTGATCTGATGTCCCTACTAGTTACAGTCTGTTCAGATTCCTTATTTCTTCTTGATTTAATGTTGATTAACCATGTTCTGTTGTCAGTTTAATGGTGTCTTTTATAATTCATGGTATTAAAAAAAAATTTTTTTTTTGTCTTTTTTGAGACAGGATCTCACTATGCAGTTTGGGCTGGCCTTGAACTTACTTTGAAGCCCAGGCTGGTCTCAAACTCCCAGTGATCCTCCTGCCTCAGCCTCCCAAGTGCTGGGATTACAGACATGCATCACCATGCATGCCTCAATTTATAGTATTTTAGATTGGGTATATTTTAGAAATTTGCTCAAGATCACCCAACTTTTGAGCAGTAGATTATTTGCTTTCTATTCTGTTGTTTTCTTACTTCTGTCTCTACTTTAATGAGGACAGTCTTTCATCAGGAAGAGTCTTGTCTGAAATAAAAGGTACATTCAGATCAAGAGTATATTTAAAAGATTCTATGACCAACAACATACATATAAGTGCTAAATAATAAATAAATTCATATTTGGTTATCATCCATTCTTGATCTTGATTTTTACCCATTCATCAAGATAGTTGAAATTAGACTACAGTGTATTAGAGAATCACTTGCTGAGTGCTTGTGTTGGATATCTTAACACTTCACTCTCTATTAATTTTGTTTTTTTTTTAAATCAGTACTGGGGATTGAACTCACAACCGCACGCTTGCAAAGCAGGTGCTTATGCTGCTGAGCTAAATCCCCAGTCCTAACACTTTGTTCTCTGTGCAGTCTTTAACACCTCTGTGTGAAGAAGACAACCAGGCCCAGGAAATCATTAAGAAGCTGGAGAGTAGTATAACATTTCTTAGCCAGTGTACAGCGCGGGTGGCCAGCAGAGCTGAGATGTTAGGAGCCATCAATCAGGTAAGTTGTCGCCATTTCTCTTGTGAGAGTGAAATTACTCAAAAGATTTATGTTCCCTGAGATGCATTTGTAAGAATGAGATTAAAGGAATCTTTGTTATATAAGGCATCCATGTTTAATGTAAGAAATTAAAATATACAAATGAAATGTAAAGAAAAATCTCTCCCTAATATTAGCCAATGACCATCATCCTAAAAATTGTGTTGTACATTCTTGTACACATTCCCTTCATACATGGTTATAAACTGCTTCCAAGTAATACGTTTTTCATTTAATATATAACGTGATACAAACATTATACACCCATATCACGATTTTTCAGCTCTGTTGGTTGAGGAGACATGACTTGTTTATTTCCTTATATTCCTTACTATTTTTGCTGTTATAAGTGATTCTACAATAAACATTCTTGTACATGTATCTTTGTATACTTATTTGTAGAGAAGTAGGATTTAAAAATTTATAGGCAAAGTTGGGAGTTGGCTTTTTGAAATCTAGACTAAACAGACTTATGAAAATCTATTAAGAGGGAGATATTTCCTTTTGGGTCATAGTTACTTATTTGATATACTTTTTAAAATATCCTACTTCAGTTTAATCTCTCACTAAAAAATAATTTTATTTTTTGTGACAATTTTTATCTTTGTGACAATTTTATATATGCATATAGGTTTTTAAAAGCTAAGTAACTGGGGTTGGGGATTTAGCTCAGTTGCATAAGTGCCTGCTTGGCAAGCATGAGGTCATAAGTTTGATCCCAGGTACCCAAAAAAAACCCAACAATAACACAACAAAAAATCTAAGTAATTCTATAAACCTTATTATTCAATTTTCCAGGCTCTAGACTGGCAACAACCTGAAACTTATGATTCGTTTTATTGTTATCCGTATTTTGTTATTCGTTATATTGTATCCGTATTTCTAAATAACATACTTATGATGCCAGCTAGTGATTGGTTTTCAGCTTTACATGTTGCTTTCCCATTATGAAGATGTGGATCTCTGTCACTCTCAGCCCTTCACACATTTTCACAGCCCTCACCCCGCTGCTCTCCTGTCCTCTTTCCTGACTAATCTCACGCAACATGAAGGTCAAGAGCTGACGTGTGTGACCTTGCAGGTCGCTCTATGTGTTTATTTTGTTTTGTTTTACTTTTTGGGCAAATCTACAGCCTGCTTAAATCCACTGAATTGCTCACATTAAAAATGGTTAAGTTTTTTTTAAAATTGTAAATTGTGTATCAACATTAAAAAGAAGAAAAATATACAATGAATGAACCTTGTTAATTCTCCCAAAAAGTGCTTTTGAGCCACGTTGGGAAATTTCAGGATGAACTAGCATGTTATTTTAAGGCACTTTTGTTTAGCCTTGTGAGAGTGATGTATAGTTAAGGAAATGCATTTTCTCCTTTTGAAAAATCCTTACTGGAGTATTTAAGAGTAGAAAAAAAATGATGTCTCTCACTTGTGTTTTTTTTAACAAATTCAAAATGGGAAGAAGATGAATCTGGTTTGGGGGCAGATAAACTTAACGGCAAAATAGTCACTGTAAAGCTGGAGATGTGTGGATTTATTGCTTAATTTCTGTCTGTTTGGAAATTAAAGTTATAAAAGTTAAACAAGAGCATTAGTGAATGAATAGACTGAAGTTGTGTAAACATTCTCATGACCATGAAGATTCTGTTCTCTGCTAAGATGTTTCCCTTCTTGACATAAAATTCATGTTCCTTCTGGAGTAAATTATTGCTCTTTGCAATGATCATTTGGTTAGTTTTCTCTTTGTCTTAATTCATTTTCAGATTCATCTAAAAAGTTCAGGTCTCTCATTATATTGCAGCTCTTCAGTTCTGTCACTGTCTTCTTCCTTGAGATATTCCTTCAAGAGATGTTTTACTTGCTTGCTCCAATCTGGTTTGTTAACCCTTTACAGGCTGCCACGAAAGTCTTGCAAACTCATACATGGAATTTCTTTCATATCCCACTTGAGTTGAATCCCATTTTCTAGATTCCTTGTCTCTCTTTGTTGTTGTTTTGGGTTTGTTTGTTTGTTTGTTTGTTTGGTCGGGTTGGGAGGCAGACTTTGTGAGAAGTTGTAGGTGGTAGATTTACTAATGGTCAATTTGTAACCCCAGCTGAAGTGAATCAGTGTGGTGGTGGGTGTGGAGGGCCCACCTGAGGACTGTTGCCAATGTAAAAAAGAGAACTGGAAGGGGAAGACGGTGCACTGTTGATTCTCCTGGAGAAGCTTGTCACGCTGGCTTTCCCGATACGAACTCAGCTGTTCTCATCACCAGAGGAGTTTGGGTCTTGGCTGTCCCTAAGGATGGCTGTGGTTCTTTTCGGGGACTCTGTGGTCCTTACCTTGAGTGTTGTTTCCTGGCTCCAGTGCAGATCCCTTAGCCTGCTGACACAGATGCTTCGTCTCACTGGTGCAGACTTTCTAGCTTCCACTGCTGACCTTTGCTCCTTCCCAGTGCAGATCCTTGATACAGACTTGCCGTGGCCTCTAGCTGGACTTGTGGAGGACATTGCCATGGGTTCTGGGACTTCAGCTGGACTCATGCAGGACATTGAAGTGGCATCCAAGCCCTCAGCTGGATTCTTTGGGTCTCTAGTGCATGGACAGATGATCTTCACCCTTCTGCATTTGACTCTTGGGTGAATATTATAAAATGATCCTATAAATTATGTCTTATATTAAATCTTTTCCTTTGTAAACCCCTGTCTACAACATTGTACAGATGAAAACATCTTTACTCCCCTTAATTGGTAGCCTAGCTGGCTGAAGGATTCTAGACTAATTTCCTCTAGAGTTTGTCTCACATTGCTTCTTTTTCCTCTTAGGTCTGGTACTGGGATCAAAGTACGATACCATTCTAGCTTCTACATCTTGGTTACCGTCTTTAGACATTCTGAAAGCTTTTAGGGCATCTTCTATTTTTCCTACTACCTCCCTTGGAATGGTTTATTTTTACCCATTGCATTAGGCTTTGATGGCCATTTTTCAAGCTAGCGAGTTATGTTCATGGAGAAATTTTTAATTTCATTTTCTACATTTTGGAATTTTTTCCCCTGCACCTTCCTGGACTCCTTCTTCTTTATGGATCTGTATGGATGTTTTCTGAGCCACTTCTTGGGTCTTTTTGCTCTGGTTTCAAGATTTCCTCATCTTTATCTTGAAAGCCTATTATTTTTGTCATTTTAATTTCTAAAATCTCTTAACACACTACATGTGCTTTTTAACTAATGTCTTGTTCTAATTTCATGGATGAACTAATTATTTTTAATTCTCTGAAGTTATATATGATTTTCTTGAAGTTTTAAGTTTTCCCCAGACTGTTTTTTCCAGTACAGTTTCTTTTATATTTTGATCTCCTCGGTTCATGCTGGACACTTCCCAATATCTGATGGTTTACCGCGAACCTTACTGAAGGCTCTGTATGTGTGGAGTAGACAAAGTTCTTTGTGACGCTGAGCTTCCCATAATCTAGGATCTTTTATTGACTCTGATGGTCAGTACTTATAGGACTTTCATCTTGGAATATAAGATTCTCCAAGGAAAAATCTTACAGCTCCCTGTCTTGAGAGCATAATCCTGGCTGTTGATGTTTAGGAGTTGCCAGAAGGAATACAGATCTCAATGCTTAATAAATATATGAGCTTTTGATTAAATCTGTTGTTTTCGGTTAAGATATATTTGCCATCAGCTATTTCCCAATCCACAAAACCTGTTTGTCTGTAGATACTTAACTTAGTCTTTCAATGCAATGATTGTGGAGAGGTACTTTGCTGGGTAGGATCATGGCTTTAATCACTTTTCACAGACTTTGAACCTCTCCTTAGGTTCACACACCCACCTTCACTTTCCAGAGACGCCACTAATTCTTAAGCCTTTGAGACCTTCTGCAGTACAACCTAGCTCCCTGTGTGTTTTAGAGGCTCAGACTTATAAGTCTTTTTATTACCCAGCCTTCCAAATCTTTTGCTATTAAATCCTCTTCCATTCTACTTGTCTTATGTTTAAAAAACAAAATTCCTTCTGACATTTTAATCAGATGTAAGGATGGAATGAAAGTGAATGTATTCATGCCCCAGCACTGAGAACAGTTCTGTGTGTCTGCCCACCTGATCCCCTATTTCTTTCTCCCCCACACCGTCTCCCTGTCTCTGTCTGTCTCTTTCTCTCTATGCCGGTAATGCAACATCAGAGCCTCAGGCATGACAAGCAAGCTCTCTACCAATGAGCTGCATCCCAGCCCCCCCAATAGTATTTGCAATATAAATTTATTTGTTCTTATTTTTCCTAATAGGAGAGCCGGGTTAGTAAAGCAGTTGAAGTGATGATTCAGCATGTGGAAAACTTAAAGAGAATGTATGCCAAAGAGCATGCTGAGTTAGAAGAATTGAAGCAGGTTCTTTTGCAGAATGAAAGGTCTTTTAACCCTCTGGAAGATGAAGGTAATACAAATTTAAATAGTGTTAGTTGTGTTTTTCTAACATTCTCTTTTTTCATGCTCTTAATATCTCTAAACCCTTTAGGTTAAGAGAGATTTAACTTAATATACATTAAGTATATTTAACCCAAATCATCAAGCTGACTTTGCTTGCCTAATTGATACTACGTAACTATAGACCTTTTCTGCACATAAAGTCACATGCAAAATGTAAATGAGTCAGTCTCAGGAACAGTGGTTCTGTACTCTTCAAAGAAGTAGTGACCTTGGCAAGGGCCCATAAGCTGATTTATGGTTTGGAGAACAGACACATGTCGTCACAGGTAAAAAATGATAATGTATGGTTTGTATAAGTCTTATGGTAGTTTTATTGTAAATAGTATGAACTATTCTGAGCAGAATTCTTAATGAGCTGTTCCTGCTTCCAGAGAAGTAACCATACTTGATACTCGTCCTGTGGATTCCTTTATTCAGCACACAGCTGACAATTAGTGACACTGTGAATTAGCAAGCATCATGGACACAGGGGACCATATGCCACTGGTGAAGGTGGTAATTATTACGAGTCACAAAATAAATACACTTGCATTGCTCTGTAGGGTAGAGTCTTAAGTAGATCTTTTCTGACCTTTTGTTTGCTTTGTAAAGAATATCATGACTCTAACATAGATTACATAAGTGATTTCTAAAGTGTGCAAATGCTTTTCCTTTCAGATGACTGCCAGATTAAAAAGCGTTCAGCTTCTCTGAACTCCAAGGTAATTACTAATTCACTTAGTATATTACTTATTGTCTGTGAAGTGGTACTGGCAATAAAAATATTTGAAAATACTTGAAATAACATGCCTTGAAATGCAAATCACAAAGCAGTGATTTTAATTTGCATGCATGCATATGTGATACGTGCATTTGCCTATATAGTTTATTTATGGAGTATGCTTTTAAACTGCCAGCTGTGCTTGTATATTAGTCAATTTTGCTTGGCAGCATGGCAAAAGCTAATATGGCAGCATTTCCTGTCACGCAAACCAAATTTTATAGCTGGGTGTGTTGGTGCATGACTATAATCCTAGCACTCGGGGAGACTGAAGCAGGAGGATCACGTTTGAGCCCAGCATGGGCAACTTGGTGATTTAGCAAGGTTTTATCTCAAAAGAAAAAAAAGAGAGAGAGTTGGTGGTAAGAGTTTCCAATAATTCCAGCGCTTGAGAAGCTGAGGTAAGATTGCTATGATGCATAGCAAGACCCTGTCTCAAAAAAAGTAAATAAAAAGTAAAATTTTTTTCAGGTCTGGGGATAGTACAGAGGCCCTGGATGTGATCCCACTGCACACACACACACACACACACACACACACACACACGCACACACACACACACACACACACGGAAAAGAGGCAGATGCATGAACTCTTTCTTCATGGATCATTCTCCTTTCCTGCCAGTTTCCTACTCTCAGGCCTTGCGTGGTGTGTGGAGTCTGAGATCACTGCTTCCGATCCAGGTACCAAGTCACCAAGTCCTTGCTGTTACATCGTATATAGCAAGGAAATGCAAAAAATGAAGGCAAATATTTCCCCTTCCTGCAAAGACCCTCCCTACAAGTCCAACATGGTATTTCCATTTTCACTCCTGGTGGAAAATGAGGTGGAAAAAGTTTTTATTCTGGAAGCCATGTGCCTAGCAAAAAATCAAGGGGCAAATGGGATCCTGAAGATCCTCCAGCGGTTTTTTGCAAATCAGAATTCCCCAGATTTACAAAATTTTTGCACAACTGACTAAAGTCATCCCGTCTATCTCTCTAATGTTTCACAGATGGAAGAGAGAAATACAGAAGTGGTTAATATGACCGAGTTCTGACAGAGCTATGATTAAAAATCAGCTTTCTCTCACTGCCGTCCAACATTCTTGGGATGCTCAACTCATCTATGAAATTAAATCAGATGACAGTTGAAAGATTCATGTAAAACATTTTAAAATTGGTTACTACATTTAAAGTAGTTTTATCTCCTTAAGTTGCACTCATTTAAACTACAAAAATGCCATGTTATTTTCCTGCCAATGAATCTCAAGACTGATTTATAAACACATTCACTTATTAAAACATCACAGTATCTCATTCATACATAAAACCAACAATGTTGATGTCCGAGAAGTTGAGTAGAATGGTGAGAGGGATGGGAAGAGTCTAATCAGCAGGAACTAAGTTATAGTAGGATTAAGCAGGCCAGGGGCTGGGGATTTAGCTCAGCAACATAAGCGCCTGCCTTGCAAGCAGGCAGTTGTGAGTTCGATCCCTGGTACTGATAAAAAAGAAAAAGACCAAAAAAAAAAAAAAAAAAAAAAAGGATTAAGCGGGCTGGTGGGCTGTGGTATAGCAGGGTAACCACAGACAGTAATGTATTGTTCATTTCAAGAAGGTAAAGAATTTTGAAAATTTTCACTATAAAATGATTTAAACATTATGCAGTGTATACATGGGAACATTACATGGTGCTCCATTAATACAATTTTTGTTTTTATGTTATTAAATTTATTTTAACTGATAAAGCATGATGAAATGTTAAATGAATTGAGGTATATGAAACTATGCAAAAAAGCTATAAATGTAGTTGCATATTTATCTTCTCTTGAGTTGGGAATTTTTTTTTTTTTTTTTTTTTTTTTTTTTTTTTTTTTTTTTGAGGCAGGGTCTCTCTGTGTGGTTCAGGCTGGCCTTGAACTCACTGTATCACCCAGGCTGGTCTTAAACTGACAGCGATCCTCCTGCCTCGGCTTTCCAAGTTCTGGGAATACAGGCATGCACCACCATGTCTACTGGGGGCCGGGAGGGTAGTAATCCTTTTAAGCGTTAAAAGTAATGACAGCCAAACGGAGAAAGTGAAGAATATTTGGCTGGATTAAGAATTCAAAAATTTTCTTCCCTCAAAATAAAACATGGACAAAAGTTCATAAGCATAAACAGATGGTTCTCAGAGCAGCTGTACACATGGTTTCAACACAGAAAAAACAATGCTAAATATTAGTAGTTGCCAAATAAATGAAATTTCAAATAAGAAATTTTATATTTAATGTATGGGTGGGAATTATAATCTAATGTTGCATAAAATGGAAAAGAAATTGGTAAAATGTTTCTGAAAGGAGATTTATCTAGAAACAATCTTCTAAAATTTGCTGTTCAACTCAGCAGTGGTCAGGTACATAGGTGCGTGCGTACAAGGGTACACATCTCTGTGGCAGATACAGACAGGACCTTAAGAAAGTTATCTAAATGTGTATTTTTGACTTTTGGGTAGCCATCTTCTCTTCGAAGAGTGACTATTGCCTCTTTACCCAGAAATATTGGAAATGCAGGAATGGTAAGCAAATTCCTGTGTGTTCTTGATGTAAAATCATTTTCATATGACTAAAGTGTCAACTTATTTCACTAAATACTAAATACTTTATTTTTAACACCTGAACTTCTAAAGGCGGCTGCAATGGAAAATGACAGATTCAGTAGGAGGTCAAGCAGTTGGTAAGTGTAATTTTACGGTTGCTCTTTGGGAATTTTACTATTTCCTGATGCTGCTAAATAAATAGGCCTTTGAAATACGTAATGTATAGTAACTTTTGATTTGTTCAGAATATAACAAAATTATAAAAACTAGTATATGGCATTGTTTAAAAATTATGAAATGGGCATTATATGAACGTGCCAAGGAAAAAATTAGAACCTGTAATTTGTGTGCCCATTTACGCAGCAGGTAATAAATCACTAATGGCCACTGATATATTTGACATGGGGCTCTTACTTTCCTTATTTAGGCGAGCTTTGGGTACAAAGCAGAGTGAACACCGCCCTTCCTTACATCGATTTATCAGCACCTATTCCTGGCCAGATGCTGAAGATGAAAAATGTGACCCAAAGTAGGTGTGGCTTGGTGTATCTATTAAACAGACACGAGCTGAGGCATAAATATTGAGGTCACTTTAATTCCACAAAGAGGAGGCTAATGCCGTGTCAACAAAAAGATAATTTGTGGTGAAAGACTTTTATAAACTGTGACGCACTCTGTGGATGTAATGTGTGCATACATGCACTTTTGTAATGCTTGCAAAAGTTGGAGGTTTTAAGTTAGAAGAGATCCTGGAGCTTGCCAGATTGGTAAAGATTTCATTTTCCTAAGTGTCTGCCATGGGGGTGGGGGGTGGCCAATAAAGAGCCATAGAAATAAAATCTCCATTCACATAGATTTTAAAAATACATGAAATGTGCATGGACCGTGTATGTATACATAACCTAAGGACCCGTGTTGTAGTCCTGGGAACCTCTTACAGAGTTTAGACTTAGTTATCATAGTGAATCTTTTCAGAATTGGGAGGAAACACATTAATGTGTTCCTGTAAAGTTTATAATCTATTTTTTGGTTATGGTATGATGTCTGCTGAGAAGTTTTTGTCAAAAAAGACTGAGGCATTGAGAAATTTACAAGAATGTACTTGATTTTGCCCTTTGTCCTTGTTTTATTAAAAAAGAAGATTCAACCTACTTCATTTTCTGTAGATGGTTGAAAAAAAATTGGTATGAAGTTGCCTTTGGCAATTGGGAGGGCATAATAAGCTTGGGATTTCAAATTTCAGCTCCTCACTAGGAACTATCAGTGAATGTGATAATGAAACAATTATATTTAGGTAGGGCAACATTTCTTTAGATAAAGATTTGATTTAAAATAGTCAATTGTTAAGCCAGGGGGATGCAAGTCTGTAACCCCAGCACTCAGGAGGCTGAAGCAGGAAGACTGCTATGAGTTCAAGACCAGCCTGAAACATATAATAAAGCCTCAAAAAAAAAAAAGTCAATTGTTATTTCCAGTCCATGGAATACTAGTTTAGTTTATCAGAGAATTTTCAAAAGTGCTTTTTAAAATTAAGACCTTTAGAAAAAGAGAAGAAATGGAGCTTTGAGTTTCATTCCAAATTGGCACTAATCAAAAACTCTAGACCACAGAGTAAAATAAAATTCTGATATAGGATACTAAAATTAAAGTGGTAAAAAAATAATAAAGTCAATGTAGCAGAATAACAATGAGTGAAAGTTTTACTATATTTCAGATAAAGTACAAAGAGGAAGAAATATATTCATATTAAATACACATATATATGCACTAAGAAATGTCAGTAGTAACATTGGTTACCTATGAGTCATGAGACTGATTTTTATATATTCTTTACAAATTTCTCCTCTTTGTGTATTTGATTAATATTCCAACTTTGTACATAACTATAAAAATAGTAAATGTTTACTTTTTTGTAAAATTGGTGGTATAACTTGGAGTCTTAGCTCTCAAACCTTTGCAAAGCAATCAGATATTCACGAGCCTCTAATACAGTAAAATTCACCAGGGTTTCATAAATCATTATAGCACAGTATTGTTGGTTTCAAATATTTATAAGCAGTGCTTATTATCTGCAGAACTAAAGATGACTCAGAATCACCTGGAGAAGAAATAGTTGAACGGACAAGAAAGACAAGCCTTTCTGAAAGGAAAAATAACCCGTCCAGGTGGGGTATCTCTTCCATGTAAGTTGTCTACTTGCCCTACGATTCTGGTGTAGTAGACTAGAAAAGGGTAATGCAGGGCTAACAGTACTAATCAATTTCTTTGAACAGGGCTGGGGATTTAGCTCAGTGATGGAGGTGCCTGCCTGGCAGGTTCAAGGTTGTGTTTGATCCCCAGTATCAAAAAAAAAAGTCAGATTTTTAAATTTGAGTAATGAAATCTGTAAGGCCAACCTACACTAGTTACTCTTGAACCTATTTTACAAGAGGCACAAAGGTTCAGTGTTAGGGATATGACTCTAGAACCAGACGGGTTAGATGCCCCAGCCACTTGGGAGATCGTTTCTCCTTCTAGAAAACAGGGATGTTAATGGTCCCTGTGTGTCACTGTGTTGGTGTGGTGACCAACTAAGCACCACCTGGAATGTATTTAATATGGTATCTAGCACGGAGTTAAGTGATGCAAAAGTTTCCTGTGGGTGTCTCTAAAAGAAAGTGCAGATTTTACCACAGCAGGGGCATCTGATATGCTGAAAATTAAGCGACACTGTAGAGATGCAGGTTTGTAACTACATCCTGCATCTGCTCTCCCAAGTAAATAGTGTAGTATTTGTTGGGTTCCACTGTAGCAATAAAAGTTGATTGAAAGGAGGAAATATTTGTATGTACTTGTAAAAGCAAGTGCCTAAATGACACAATTTTTAAGCAAATCACTTTAATTCCAATAATTGTAAGGAGTGGGTACAGATTATGCCCCAAACCAAGAGGATCAATCATGACATGTGTGCCCTGAGGCAGTGTCGGTGGTGTTTAGGGCAGGTAAATGATGAGACCAGGGTGATGGCAAAAGCAGGTCTCTAGTACCAAATGACCAAGACTGCCAAATTCTATTTGTGTTTTCCTTATAGCCCTGACACGCTGGCCTCGTGGGTGACACATTTGGGGACCTCCGTGAGGAAAGCTAATAAGACCCTCTGGCTCTCTGTCGCTCTCATTGTACTGTTCGCAGCTCTCATGAGCTTGCTCGCAGGCCGATTTTTCCAGAAGTCTGTGGAGGCTGCTCCCACCCAGGAAGGGGACTCCTGGATCTCTCTGGAACACATCCTGTGGCCCTTTACCGGACTCCAACACAACGGGCCACCACCGGTGTGACCGCAGTGAGCCCTACGGTATGTGGCTTGGTTTTTAACCCTCCAGCCTCTGAACTTGATAAAACGAGCAGCTTTGCGCTGGGATTTCACTTAGAATAGCACAAAACCACAGGTTTTCAGAGAAACCGTCAAACTATTTGGTTTCCCACTTCATGTTTTATAGTCGAGGAGATGACCACAAACAGGATATTTTAATGTGCTTTTTGAGAAATATGTTGTTTTGCTACAATGTATCTAAATAAAGAACCCTTCAAATCTTCCTACAAGTGAAAGTTGAACTTCTCAATCTGGGCAAACAGTCAAAAAATCCCACTTTGTTTAAAATTTGAATATAAAGTGCTGTTTGATCATTTTAATAATCTGAAATACATTCCCGCATTACACGGAGGAATACAGGCTTTCCCACCAAGATGAGTTTGTGAGTGGGGATTAAGAATAGCTGAGCACCCTGGTGGACAGGAGCATGTAGCAAACCGAGTCAATGAACTGGCAGCTGGAACTCCTGGTTCTCTCCATGGCTTCCTTGGAAGCAAAGTCCTTCACCATGTGATACAAAGTGGAATGAAACTCCATGTCTTCTCCAAGTGCTTCGGAGAAGGACGCGCTGTCTTCCTGGATCTTGAGCCTCTGTGCTCTGTCCCCGCTGAACATAAACAGGGCCCAGTTAGGAACCCCAGGGTGCTTATCGCTCAGGCACTCCCTCACCTAAAATGAAATTAGATTTATTAACAGTTCCCCTTCTATGAATTATTTTGAGAGTTGGGTATTACTTGAAGAGCTCAGCTCAGTATCGCGAAATGCCCAAGTTAAACATTCATTCGTAAGGTCCCCTTATTGAGTTGTTTGTAAACTCAAACTGTATTTATGCAGATTTTCTGCAAGGATTCATTCATACGACTAATATTTCAGTGCCAGTCACATGCTGGGTATATAACAGTGAAACACAGGAAAAAAGCAATAATTCACCATCTAGAGGAGAGATGTGCTTGTATACATCTATCTTCAGTTGGTAGAAAGAGTTGTAAGAATTCCAGCCTGAAGTCACAAGCACACCACTTACACAGGTTGGAGACATTTTTCTTATTTTTTTTTTTTAATTTTGAGACAAGGTCTCACTAACTAATTGGTCAAAGCTGACCTCACACTTGCCTTCAGTCTTAGCTACTAGAAGGCAGAGGCAGGAGGATTGCATGTGTCATGGTACCTCGCCTGGTTTTATATAATTGACAAACTAAACAAAGCTAAAAATTTTTTTTTAAATTTAAAAACACTATTTTGAATATTTTTTTGTTTACTTTTAAAAGAGGGAATGCGAGGGTCTGTATTTGGCTTTTGAGTATTTTATCTTCTTTTGGAAGACAAGGTCGCCTCGTCGAGTTTTGGATACTGTACCTTAAACACAACTTTTGTAGAATTGCATAGAGTATTCCATTTGCTCCACCCAAATGCAAAAGCAGAACTCAGCAGGGCCATCTGCCGATAAGCTTTCATTTCCACCAAGGGAACCTGTGAATATGAAATACAGTGAACAGAGCTTCCCAGCAAGTCCCCCATCTGGGCTCCATTTAAAAGTCTAGGCCAAGCTTCTCACGAAACTAGGTAAGGGCTTTTCCTCCCTCTGAGCAGAACCCAAAGGTGATGTCTACTAAAGCCCTCTGTGATCTGCCCCTCCCAAAGCCTCTCTGGTCTCCTCCTCCTCCATGCCCTCACTGAGGGCTCTGGCTCCACCTGTCCTCCGCACCTGGACCTTCTTGGCTCAGCTGTGCACCTCCAAGTCCTGTGCAGATCTCACCCTGTCCCTCTTGCTTACTGAGTCCCCTTGATCCCTACTGCCCGCCATCTAACCCACTCATTCTCCTCTACTTCTCCTCCCGAGCACTTTTACCTTTATGGCCTACAACATAGATTCATTTATTTCCCTCTACTGGAATATAATCTCTGCAAAGGCAGAGCCTAGTGCTCTATTAACTGATGTATCCTAATCTAAAACAATGCCCACCATATAGGTATGCAGGGAAAACATTACGGAGTGTTTTGAAAACATGAACAGGACACTACGTCAGCACTGTAGGGATTAAACTCAAGGAGGCCTTTTCCTCCCTGTGTGTGAAACCTGGAGTTTCCATTGTTTGCTAACTAGAATCATGTGAGAGCACGTACAAAAATTTAATACTTGCCAATGTTCTACATGTCCACTACCTTAAATTTGGAAAGATTAGTGCTTGCCTTATTGTTTATAACAACATAAAAATGAGAGTATGCTGTGGGGAAGATATTCAGTCCGGTTTCTTTCAAAGCGATAATGAAAGGAATAGGCGTCATCCACTTCCCTTCCAGCACGGATGAGTGTTCTTTGCCCTTTACTTTGACTGAGGCTAACATGCAGAGGTTTTCCTATGTTTAAGAAAAAAGAACAGCTTTTATAAAAAGTTATATTATTACGTCGGTGTCCTTCCAAGCCCAGCTTTTAAATTCTTTAGACTATTTTTTTAAAGCATAAAAGAATGTAACTGGGTGTGGCGGTGCACATCTATAGTGCCCAGCACTCAGGAGGCTGAGGCAGGAGGATAACATGAGTTTGAGGCAGGTCTGGGCTACATAAGCAAGATCAAGGCCAGCCTGCACTGCAGAGGGAGACGCTGTCCCAAAATACAAAAAAAAAAACAAAACAAAAGAATGCAGGATAACTCAGTGTTAGGTGTGAGGTAGCAGTACCACTGTTAAGTCCCCATTAACTTAGAAACAGTTTATTAACTTTTTATAGGCTTTCTCTGAAAAATCAAGAGCTAGAATTAACCTCTTATGTACCAGGGATGTAGCTCAGTGGCACAGCGCCTGCCTGGCACTGAGTTTGACTCCTGGTACAAAAAAAGACAACAAAACTCTTAGATCTCCTCTTTTTTTATTTTAAAGAGGGTAAAACAAAACAGAACAAAGCAGATCAGAAGAAAACAAAGTAAGTGACATAGATTTCAAAGCAAGACAACAGGAGATCCACAATGGCTACCATGTCTTTTGTTTTCTTCTAAATAGTTGTCTGTATCTTTTCCTCTTTTAAAAAGTTGTGATTTATAAATACTGAATGTATTCAGATTAAGTCAAAACAGCTATTAAAAACAGTTCTGACTGTACTTTTAGGAATTAGTAATTTTTTAAAGACATATAAAATTTAACATCTACTTTTAAGGTTTGACAAAGTAGCAATTCAAAAGTATAAAGAGTTCACATCTCTTGTCTGTTTTGATATTAATAAGCAATTTAACCCAATTTAACCCAATACATATTTCAATATGAAATCAGTATAAAATTATTAATGAAAACATTGTTTGTGTATGCCAAATATTAAAAGTCCAATATGTGTTTTAAATTATAGCATACATTAATTTGGATTAGTCACATTTCAGGAGCTCAATCACCAGATGGGCTCATAGCTACCATATTACATAGCAGGGGTGTATCTTTATAATCTGACCCGAGAACACGTTTGTATCTTCTGTTAGCCTAGAGGAAGCGCCCTTGGCCTGGGGACTGTGGGGGCAGCTGGTGTGGGAAAGCAGCACCAGCCTGACTGTCCCAGCATTACGGTCTCCTCCTACAATCTCAGAGAGGTCACTCAACTCCAAACCACTCTGGGCCTCAGTTTCCCTCTATAAAATGTGAGATTAGAAATGTTTTAAGGTTCTTTGTAGCACTGAGCTCTTGATCTCCCATCTGATTTTAAAAACAAGGTTTGATAATGAACATCAGGACTTCTAGGTTGTCTCTTTATTAAAAAAAAATATCTCTCAGATGTATTTTACATAGCACAGAATTCACCCTTTTCACACAGTGCAATCCCTGGAGAGGTCATTGTGCAGGCTGGCCTCCAAGGAGCGGGGGTCCTCCTGCCTCGATGCAATCGTTTTGAGAAACTTTACCAAGCAGTGTTGTAACTATCACCATAAATCATTTTAAGAATGTTTCACTCCACCCAATAAAATCCGCTATGTCCTTTTACGGTTAAGTCACCATTCCCACACCAGCCCCCAGGAAATCACCAGTCAGGTCTCTGTAATATTTCCTGACTGATGAACACAGTGTCTCATTCAGAGAGAGAAACAACTTCACAGGGAATTTCAAACGCTTGGATGATGAGCAGGGTCCCTCTTCACTGAGACGCAGACCACAACCAGAATAGAGCTTGCTGTTCTATCCATCGATCTCTCTGTGGTCACTTTAGGGTACAACGGTGAGCCTCATGCTTATGTGTTATCGCTTACTTACTCAATAATCTTTGAAATGGCTCTAGGTGTATTTTATATGTAATTGTAAAGTACTCATGTATGAATATATACATCAATGACCATCAACAACGCTGTTACATCCAAAGACTTGCTGGAACAGGAACTTACCTGAATTTGTATTTGAAGCTCAGTAAACACTGTCGTCACAATCAGAAGGGCTTTATTCACATCAAGTGGTCTTAGTTCCCACGACTGGTACGGCATGTTAATGTGAGTGTCCTGCATCAAGGAAATGGGGCCAAACACTTCCAAGCTGAATGATACAAGTCTTTCTTCTGGGCTATAATACACCTCACTAATGCCATCAGTTCGCCAATATTTACCTTTATAGTAAAGGAAGAGTGATGTCAGTTTCATTTTTTTCCTACAAAAATAAGATCAATGCAGCTATCTACATCACTGATCTTTTACACTAAGAATAACATCTAGCCAGGTGTGGTGGTGCACGCCTGTAATCGCAGCACACAGGAGGCTGAGGCAGGAGGATGGTTGTGAGTTAAAGGTCAGCCTGAAGTATACAGTGAAACACTGTCCAAAAAAACCAAAATAAATAAAATCTCAATAAAAAAATCTACCTTCCCTTGGAGTTTCCCGATTTCCAGGATCAAGTCCAAGCTCCACAGCATGGTCTTCCGAGGGGAGCTTTGACTCACTTTTCTTGGTCTCTCTCTCTTGCCATTTCCCTGTTTACAGCAGCATTTTCACCCATTCCCCACCAATTCTGTTTCTGTCTGGGCCTTTGCACATGCAGTTCTTGTTTTTCCTAGAGTACTCTTCCCTAACATTTTAGAGAAATGCCCTTCCATTTTTGAAACAACTTTTCTCTTGTTTGAAGTATACAGTTGCAATTCTTTTTGGTAAGTTTATACAAGTGTACAACCATCCCCACAATCTGATTATAGAATATTTTTATTTGAAATAAGATGTCTCTATTGACAGTCCCCCCCCCATTTCCATCTCTAGCCCCTGGCAGCTTTCTACTAATATACCTGTCGCTCAAGAATGACCCTTTTTGGACTTTTCCTATAAGTGCAACCATACAATAGATGTTCTTGCATGTCTCTTACAACTCAAAAACAAAACCTAATTCAAAAGCAGGAAAATTTCTTGAATAAAAATCTCACCAAAGATGATAATTGAAAGGCTAATAATAAGTACATAAAAATATGTTCGATATTACCATTGCTAAAGAAGTGCTAATTCAGGCCACCATGACACACCACTTCCCACTCACTAGAAAGACTAACAATAATAAGTGTTGCAAGGAGCTGGATAAATGAACACATTCATGTAAACTGGTACCTCACTGCTGAAAAACCAGTTATCATTTACTTTAAAAGATAAGCATAAATTTACCACTCACCCTGCTATTCCTCTCTTAGGTATATACCCCAGAGAATTGAAAACCAAGGTCCCCACAAAGAGAGGCACGCACAATCTTCTTTTGTCTTTAAGACTTTGTTCAGTACCCCATTGTATGAGATCGACCCAGTTCATGTTGTGCCTGGCAGCAACTTAGGCCTGCCTGTTCCAGTACCTGACGACGTAGCATCTGAGGTTTTCCTGGGCTGCCTCTCCCAGGACTCTGACAACTCCCCACAGGAGGAACTCTGATCCACTTCTATTCTCTGACTTGTCATTTTTCATATTTGTAGGACTAACGAGTGGTGCACTGTCTTGCTACAGCAGTCTCCCTGTCCACCTGGCTCTTTCCTTGTCTCACACAGAGGGTTCCACTGCCTAGTTTTTAAATTACTTCTTTCTGCTGCTACATTAGCAAAAATTAATTTGCAAAGGTTACTATTATTACCTATAAAAGAAATTCAGTGTCTATTTCCTGGCCAAAAAAAAAATGTTTCCCCATAGCTTAAAATTTACTGGGGCTGTAAAGTATTACTCATCAGTGCAGTTACATAGTCAAATTCTAAAAAAAGATATAAATTTTCCTAAATCATGTGAAATAATTTACCTTGTCTAGTTCTAATTTAGTGTGGATAATTTTTAATAAGTTTAGGAACATTACTATTAACACCTAGAACAGCAGGAAAAAAGAAATTACATAATTGTTCATTTTCATATATTTTATTGTTTAGTCTACAAGATGATATTTTGTTTAATTCACAAACTATTTCTAGGACATAAATAATGAATGGTGGTTTGGGAGCTTCGGGGCATTCATAAGCAAGTTTAAACCACAAAATATTTACTCGTTTTGGTAAAAGTGGCTAAATACTTTACCTTTGTGGCTAGAATGTAAAATGATAGATCTATGCCGTGGAGATTTGTTCTCAGCCTATCACTGAGTGTGTAAATCCCTCAAAACTAAATGGATGTAAGGCAACTCTAAAATAAATAGGTTCCTTAAATCTGTGTGACTTATACACAAGAAAACTTCAGCCATCCTACCAGGAAAGAGGCATTTGCTAATGATTCTTGAAAAATATTTCCAAAAGATGAGAAGTATAAAATAAAAAGCGGCCTTTATTCTGAGAACATGGAGAGAGATGACCAGCACCCCCACCGCTGGCATCCAGCAGATCTCTCCATGGACACATGGCGTGGGGGCATGTGAATAACCTCGGTTTGGGGTGGAACCTAAGGCGGGCATTAGGGATGCACAGGCAGCCCATTGGTCCTAGGTTTGGCGCCATATGTAAATTTCCAGGGGCGGGAAGATGGCGTCACAGGTAACTTCCTAGGGGCAGGGGAGATTTGGGCTTCCTGCTTCCGGTTGAGGCTTTCCTGGCTACAGTGTCCTGTCTGGGCCAAAACCCTTTCAATTCTCACATCATTAGCTTATACATCTAATTTTATTAATAATGCATTTAAGTTTGTAAAACCAATTTCCTATGGTCCAAGAATCAATAGCTATAATACGGTATACCACGGCCAGTTCTCCTGTGTCGTTTCTCATCCGTTCCCATCTCTGTTACTTGTTTGCAATTTATATGTGGCTAATGTTAAAATCTGAATCACCTCAATCTGAATTGTTTGGCTATTTTGTGAGAGGTCATCATGCTTTTGGCTTGCTAACCTATTTTGATATTTTCATTCTTTTTTTAAACAACAATACAGCCATAAAATTATAATTTATAAGCTATGGCAAATGTTGGCATTTTAGGATCTAATAGTCATGAAAATTCAACACAATTTAAAATTTTCACTCCTATGCATTTCTATCATAAGCAAACAAAACAAAGATCCTAGAAATCACATAGAAATATGTAAGATAAGAAACTCAGTGTACATCCTACATTTGTGTTCCATTTAAGGGTCGGTATTAGTGTCCCTTTTAATTATCTCTTTTATGAAATAATTATAAAAGTTGGTTAATGTATTACTGTACCTTCAGTATCCCACCTTGCAACCAAAGGTTCCTCAAAAAAGGTCACTTTCTCCTGGACCTGGAGGGTGACTTCTATGGGTGGAAAAGCATTTTCTGCTTCCAAATCATCTGTGATTTCCGGAGGATATGTAAATTTCTGTAATCCTTCTTTGAGTATCTTTTCAGAGTGACAGAGACAAGTCAGTAGATGACTCATAACAAAGATGTAATTATTATTAAATAAACCATATAATTTGGAATAAGCACAGTAGCTTGGTCTTGTGTGTCTATAGGTTGACTAACAAAATGTCACAACCAAACAAAGACAAAAGAGTGGACAATTGCCAAATTCAAATGTAAATGGAGAACATCTCGGGGGCGGGTTCTGTGATAGAGAGCATCGGTTTATTCCTCTCAGGAATCCCACAAAGCCTCCACTCGGATTCACCAGAGAAATAACTAAGACTTGGAAAAATTAATTTGTCAAAGGTTACAAGATGATTTTGAGACAGCATAAGCAGATTTAAGGGGCAACTCACGTGTTCTGATTTCTCAGTTAGAACACACAGGTAATCAGAAAAGTGCAGACAACCTTTTGATAAGTGGGGTAATGAATGGGTCAAAATAAAAGCAGATTTTTCCAGAATAAGGGAGAGTTGTTCATCATTTGAAAGCAGCTGCAAAGGATCTAGGGTATGAAGAAGATTTAAAATGGCAGACAATAGAGACAGAAATTTCTAGAAGAGGTAGAAAGTTATTTTCTATTTATTTTATTTATTTATTTTTTTGGTCTTTTTGCTTTTTATCAGTACCGGGGACCAAACTCACTACTGCCTGCTTGCAAGGCAGGCGCTTATGCCACTGAGCTAAATCCCCAGCCCCCAGAAAGTTATTTTTTAACAAAAGCCTTGGAGCCAGGTGTGGTGGCACACACCTGTAATCCCAGAATTTGAGAGGCTGAGGCAGGAGGATCACTGTGAGTTCAAGGTCAGCCTGGCCTAGAGACAGACCCTGCCTCAAAAAACAAAAACAAAAAAATCTTTGGGGCCCAAAGGAGAAGGGTCTTTTGTTTGCTGGTGAAGTGGTATAAGAACAAAATTTAAGAAGAGTAGCAGATTGCTTAAAAACCCTGATTCGGGCATGGACAGCATCTTGAAGGCCTTTATCAGGAGGAGGGTTTCCTTAGTGCAGCTCCTGTTGTCCCCTAGCTATAGAAGGCAGATTCAAAAGGATTCTCTGAAGTGGCTACGGCTCCAAAAGTGGCTTTCTCTAATAAATGCATTCTCATTTTTGGAGAGGAAGGGAGGAACATGGCAGTATCAGAATCAGTTGGGTGGACTGGGGAAAAGGAAACCCTGCTCAGACATGTAAAGCCCATACCGTACATACACAGGTAGGTGGTATGATCTGTGTATTAAAATTTTACTGAGACAGGCAATGAGAGGAGGGATGTCTACGAGACTCTGGGAAGAAGAATCAGGAATCCAGCTGTAAATACAAGAATGCAACTAAGCCCTTAAAGGATGGGACTGGGTATGCCATGAAACTGGCACATGCGCTGGGCTTCAAGGGAGGGGAGGCAGCCTCAGGCGCCCACAATGCTGAAACAGACCAGGTCAACCCTGCTGCAGGTCTGCCTGCTTAGGGAACAGGCATGTGGACTCCTTGAGAGCTGATCTAACCACGGCTGTCAGCAGCAGCGTCCTTAGCACCCAGCATCGCCTGCACATTGGCAGCAATGCATCACCAGGAACGTGCACGTGAATCATCTGAGGATCGCGTTAGGACACAGATCCAGTGGGCCTGCGGCGGCCCCACAATGATGCGTCCCTCAGGCATTTCACAGGGATGGCTGTGTTGCTGGTTCAGTGCTACTGATTCAAGCACCAGGCTTTGTGCCTCAAGGATTGAGGTCAGAAAGAATCTTCAAGGTGTTGGTGGCTAAAACACAAATCGCTGAGCTTTACTTTTGGAGTGTCTGACTCAGTGTGAGGTGGGGCTCACAAAGTTGCATTTCTAGCAAATTCCCGGATGGTGTAAGAGGTTGCCAAGGGATCACGTGGTCACAGCCACAGATCCAACCAGTCTGCAAACTACTGTCTCTGGGAAATGCCTCCCACCATCTGTGTGTAACTAAAGGTGAATGAGAGCCCGCACTTGCCCATGCATTTATCAGAGCTAGCTGGCCAGGAAGACTGAAAATAACCGCCTCCTGGCCTTTTACAGAGAAAGTCTGTCCACCTCTGATCTAGATTATCAAGGCCAAAATGGCACTTCCAAATATTAGTGCTGTACGTTTACAATTTGTAGCGTATTCTAGTTTTAAAGCCTACCTGTTGGATTCCTTGAGTATTTAATTCAGATTGTTAATACCTATACATTCAAGACAACTTAAAATTGCATTTTTCATCTGCACTGGGTCAAAGTGCATTTGACACTGACATTATTTGAAATGAGCTTGAAAAACATGGGGAAACTATTTTGCTGACAGGTTTGGATTAAAGCATATACCTACCTCTACCATTATCCAGCCTTTCACAGGTTTACACTGTGGGGGGAGCTCCAAAATATCCAAGTGGTACACGCCACCCAGGATCATAAAGTGGCATAAATCCACCTCCTTATATTCAGGGGTTTCTGGCTTTTCAGGAACATTCTTTATCAGGTCCAACTGGGCTGAAGTTAATCAGATTAGTACAGTTTCTAAGTAGATCACAATATTTTTGTATTAGATGGTATTAGATGAACTTCTTATACCTAGTACTGGTAAAGGAAATTTTTAAAAGCTCCTAAATCTTTTCAAAAAATGTTTAATTCAGAACTATTCACCGATTGAAGGGCATAGAGGTTGTTTCCAGGATTTAGCCCTGAGGATAGGAAAGGAAGAAGGTAAACTATCATTATTTGCAGAAGACATGATACGCTCTATGTAGAAGATCCCAAAAGACTTGCAGATTTAATAACCAAATTCAGTAGTGTAGCTAGATACTAGGTCAACACTCAAAATTCAAAAATATTCCTGAACACAAATAATAAACTCACTGAGAGAAAAATTAGATAAATTACTCCTTTCACAATAGCGTGCAAAAATGAAATACTTAGCAAATAACCAAGTAAAGAAAGTAAAAAACCTTTACACTGAAAACTACAGTAGTCTGAAAAAGGAGATTGAAGAGGATATCAGAAAATGGAAAGATAGCTCTTGTTTTGGGTAAGAAGAACTAATATAGTGAAAATGGCCATATTCCCAAAATAAGTACACATATTTAATGCAATTGCAATCAAAATACCTATAAAACACCTCACAGAATTAGAGAAAACAATCCTAAAATTCATTTGGAACAGGCAGAGACTTAGAATAGCAAAAGCAATTCTGTGCAGTAGAGACAAGACAGGTGGCATCACAATCCCTGACTTGAAATTATACTACAAAGCTGTAGTGATAAAAAAAAAAAAAAACCAGCATGGTACTGGGAAACAAAAACAAACTAGAACAGATCTGTGGATTAGAAGATGCATAAACAACTCCAAACGTATCACCTCATCTTTTACAAAGGGGCAAACATCACTGGAAAAAGCCCCTCTAATAAACAGTGCTGGGAAAGATTAAAACCAGACCTATATCTCTCATTATGTACTAAACTAAAATTGAAATGTATCGAAGATCTAAATATTGAACTACACAAACACTAAACCTGCTGGAAGACAGAACAGGTAGAACTCTTAAAGACACTGGTATAGGCAAAGACTTTATGAACAAAATCCTGATTGCTCAAGAAATATCACAAACAATAACTGGTATCTCATCTTATTAAAAAAAAACTTTTATGCAGTAAAACAAACCAGCAAAGTGAAGAGACAACCCACAGAATGGGGAAAAATTCTGCCAACTGTTCTACAAAGAACTAATACTTAGAATATAGAAAGAACTCCCCCCAAACTAGACCCCCCAAAATTTAAAAACCCAACCCCAAAACAGCCATCTGAAATGAACAGACACTTCTTAGATGAAGTATTAGAAATGAGAAGTAAATATATTATTTAAAAGTTTAACATCACTGGTCATTTGAGGGATACAAATTTAAACAACACTGAGATTCTGTCTTGCTCCAGAAAGAATAGCTATTATCAAGAAATCAACCAATAACAAAGGCTGGTGAGACAGGGGGGGTGGGAAGGAACCCGTCTCCTCCGTTAGTGGGAGTGTAGATGGTACAACCACTGTGGAAATCAGTGTGGAGATTCCTCGCAAACTATGACTAGATGCTCTGTTTAACCCAGCTATTTCTCTTTTTGCTATCTTCTTGAAAGACTTAAAAGCAACATACCACAGCAATTTATGCACACCCATGTTTATAGCAGCACAGCTTGGACTAGCTAAATCTTGAAAATACCCCAAATGCCCATCAAGCGATGAATGGATAAAAAAGATGTGTTTTTTTTTTTAAATACAGTGGAGTATTACTCTGCCATAAAGGATAAACTTGAGATATTTCTAGGTAAATAGATGCACCTTGAGACCGTAACTGTAAAGTGAAATAAATCTGATACACATGTCTGAATATCACATTGTTTTTCTGGCATCAGAAACCAAAAACAAAAATAAGAACCAAACTGTACAACAGACACTGTGAAACAGGAAGAAAATATTCAAATGGAAAGAGGAACAAGGGGGGGGGGGGCTGGGAAAAGGAAAAAAATAAATGGAAAAGTGGAAACAAATCTGTTTTAAACAAGGAGGGGAAGAAGGGCTGACCGGGAAAGGAGGAGAAGTGAACGGAAACAGAAGAATTGAGAGTCATCATGGACAGCTACAAATTTCCTATGATAAATGCTCCTATGATAAATGTATATCTAACATGTACCATTAAAAGTAATTTTTTTTGTACTGGGGATCAAACTCGTGACCTCCGGCTTGCCAGGCAGGTCCCTGTGCCACTGTGCTAAATCTCCAGCAATAAAATTAATTTTTTAAAAGCCAATTTTTGTGTGACGAAAATCTCAGTAAAGTTGAATTCTGAAAATATAATTGAGAATACCTTGTGCAACTGATTCGCTTAATAATTTCATCTCCAGTTCACCTTCTGTGACTTTCGATTCTTCCGTGGCAGAAGTCTGCAAAACAAAAACAGAAACAAATCGCAAGACTGAAACAGAAGGGCAGCCAGTTGTCACCAGCAGTGTCTATTTCGGCCTAAAGCCGTCCTGTGTTCCAGTTCCCTCTTGCTATAGCTGTTACCTGAATTATGGGGCCTCAAAATGATACTTGCAAGGCACAGAAGCAGAATACTTAACGGACACTTTAAAAACAGACAAGCACAGCGCCACTCAACCTCACTGATGTGCTCAGTCTCCTCTGAAATCCTTCAAGTGTGAAAGGGAGAACCAGATGAAGCTGTGCAAATTAGAATTATTATTTAGGATTTCCAGATGACTAACTAAACGTGCTGAGCTCTCACCTCACCCCACGGAGGGACAGTCCCAAGCACCAGGTGCAGGGCTACACTGTGAGGTGAGCGTGGGAAGACCCTGGCGATGAGGAGAGAGACTGGAACCTTAGGACTACAAACCTGCCTGGGGTAACACTGTGGAGAGAGAGAGAACACGGCCACACCTGCCACGCCCGCTGCACAGCCAAAGCAGTGAAGTTTCCCCTGAGCTGCAACCATGTTGGGAGAGAAGGTCCCTGCAAACCATCAGGGTGAAGTCAGCTGGGAAGCCGAGCTCCTGCAAACCTGCAAAATCCTCACAGGTTGGCAGCACACTTAGATGAGTAACCCGAAATCTGCCAGGAGCCTGACTTTAGCAAAGGATCTCATCACTTCCCAGCAAACTCCCAGAGTGATGTCGGCAATCACCCTGAGGAAGGTCTGGATCGGGACTTCTCTGAGGACAAGAAGCTGCTGTGTAGCCCATCTTGGGATCCCACAGGTAGCTCAGCACATTCCTTCCCCGCAACCCGAACTTGGCCCAGCAGAGAGACTCTGACTCCACCTCACTGAGCGGAAAGGACACCCTGGTTTCTCTGGAGGGCTGTGGTGAGGCAGTCTTGTGCAATGTCACAGCTCCAAATGCTGCCCATCTTGGGTACATGAGGCCAGTGTGGGCTCTCATGGGAATTTTGCTGGCTCTGGCCAGGTCTGTTCCTCTCCTAGGCAGGCTACAGTGAAGCACTGGGCAGCACCCCAGTGGTGTCAGGCGCTCCTGGGGCAGCAGCACAAGAGCACCTCAGGCCCCACAGCGCCCACCAGACCATAAGACTGCCACCATGGCCCCTCTTGGTCAACCGCCCACTGCTGGTAGGACGAGGTGTGAGTGCCACCAAGGGGCAGCTGCAGTTCCTGCTAAAGCCCTTCTGCCATACAGGGCTAGATCCATGTAGAGCTGCTCCAGGCTCTGCACCACGACCCATGCCACCTGCTGGACGGAGGTCCTTGCTAGCAGCTGAGCTGGCATCAGTAGTGCCTGAGGGAACCCCCATAACCCAAGAGAGGCCACTGCTGCCAATGTAGGACAGCCACACAGGGGCGCCATGTTCTGTTGTTCTGTGCCACACCTGCCTGAACTGCTCTTACCTGGCGCAGAGATTCAGCCGGTATCTGAGCTTGGTGTAATACAGACTGTGCCCACACTCTCAAATCAGCCAAAGAAGTTACAGGGAATTTACACGAGGGTGCCCAGCTGGCAATGAAGCCACACTGCATAGTAAATACCACACCCTACTACATATCTTGAGAAAGCCATTTACTAATAAGGCCACCTCATAAAAGTGATCGATATCACATCCACCCGATGCACAGATCTCCACATGGGAGCACAGGAAATATAACAAAGCAACGTAATATGATGAACTCCAAAAGTTCATCTCTTTAGCAATGGATTCCAAAGAAATTAAAACAGATGAAATGCCTAATTAAGAATTCAAATGAATGAGTTGGAGCCGGTGGCATGCACCTGTAATTCCAGCACTCTGTGAAGCTGAGGCAGAAAGATCTCAAGTTTTAGGAGGCCCAGTCTCAAAATAAGAAATAAAAAAGGATGGGGATGTAGTTTGGTGTAAGAGATCCTAAGTTCAATTCCCAGTACTAGCAAATGAATAAATAATCAGAAGAGCTGAATGAAACTAACAAGACAACACAGAATATGAATGAGAAATTCAGCAAAGAGTTAGAGATTTTGAAAACAACTCAAACAGAAATCTTGAAAACATTGTGTCAAAAGACTCAGCATCAGACTATATCAAGCTAGACAAAGAATATCTGAACTTGAACAGAGGTCTTTTGAAAAATCCCAGGAGCAGTAGTGTGTGTGTGGGGTGGGGTGGGAGGAATAGTGGGGGGCGAGGTTACAGCATTTTCAACCACAGGAACATCATTAAATGAACAAACACATCTCTGCAATACCCAGAGTCAATAAGAAAAAAGTTAAAAGTATAGAAAACATGTTCAAAACAGTAGCAGAAGCTTCCTTAACCTTGAAAATACCTAGATTTCCTGCATTTTCTTGTGTTAATTCTGGGTGACCATCGTAAAACAATATTATAAACTCCATGTCCTGATTCTAATTGTTCTCTGCACAACCCCTGACTACAATACCAAATTTAGTGTGCTTAGTAAAGCTATCTTTCAAAAATGAAGAGAAACAAATAGTTCTAAAATAAAGAAACACTCCAATGTGATCTCAGCTCATGGGAGGCTGAGGCAAGAGGATTGCTGTGAGTTTGAATCCAGCCTGGGCTACATTGCGAGACACCCCTCCCCAACAAAACAAAACCGAACACAGCAAAAGATGAGAAAATACTGACCACTGGACCAGGCTTAAAAAAGATGTTTAAAGTGAGTCTTACATACAGAAATGAGAGAGAACTATCATCACGTGTAAATATGAATTCCATTAAGAGTAAACAGACAAAAGAAAAATAAAAATAATTAATCATCAGTGCAGCAAATCACCAAACTGTGAAGATGAACAAGAGAGGAAGATAAAAACAGTATTCGGAATAGCTAAAAAAATCAACAAAATGCCAGGAATAAGTCTGTACTATTCAATAATAACCTAAAATGTAAATAAACTAAATTCTCCCCATTAAAAACATGGATTGGATGAATGAATTACAAAAAAAAGACCAAACAATGTGCCACGTATTAAAAGTTTAATAAGTAAAAACACACAGAGACTGAAAAACCAAAGCATGGAAAATGACGCTGCATTTGCTGGTGCTCCCTATGGTTTAGGCCCCGAGTGTCCCCCAAAAGTCCACGAGTGAGAGGCTGGGCCTCTGGCAGGTACTGTGGTCCTTTGGAGGGGGAAATTTCTGGGGATGTGTAGGTACTGGGGACTGTGGCCCTGGCTCCTGTTCTCTTTTACTCTCTCCTCCTTCCTGCCTTACAGAAAGTAGTTTGCTCCCTGACACCAGAGGCCTGGCACTGGAACCTCTAATCCAGCATCCGAAAGAAACTTTTTGTCTTGCTAAGTGAATTATCTTGGGTAACTTGTATTGATGGAAAACTAACACAGAATACAAAAAGAAAAAAGAAAAAACAGGTATCCCACGATGTGGTGTGGTGTTCTGATCTGCTGAACCTCTCAAACTAAAAGAAACTAAAAAGTCTAAGAAAGTACCCCCCAACCAAAGGTGGTGACCGTGCACCCCTTGAATCCAAGTGCAGGGAGAACTTTCTATGAGGTTCTTTTAGCTACTTAAATTTTAGACCAACTCTGAAAAAAGGAACACAATTACTTTCAATCCTCTCATTGAAATTTCTTTAGCCCAGGAACAGTAAAATCACATCACAAAGGCAAGCGCTGGGGAACCAGTCAGAGACCAGAGAGCTTTGCCCCAGGCTTCTGCCTGACTTTCCTGGGGCCTATTTGAAGCAAGATTTAAGAAAAAGTCAAATTTCCCAAACTTCCCCCTCCCTACAGCTGTTGCTCTCTGTTCCAGTGCAGATAAAAGCAGAAGCTTTTGTCTCTGTAAGTGGAATTTTATAACCTCCTGTTCCCATAACATCCTGTTATACCCAAGCAGGGCCACCAACATACAAAACTGTCACAGCCTGACAGACTGCCTCTGTTCTCCTTCTGCCCACCCACAAGTTCTGTGGTGAAGACCAACCTCCTTGATCGGAAGTATAAACTGGGGCCTGTCCTTCGTCCAGTGTTCCGCCATCTTGGACAGAGGTCCCACTGAGCCAGGTGTACAGCTAATAAAATTCTGTTTTTCCTCATCAGTCTCTCTGATTTCTTGGATTCTGCAACACATTCAGCTGCCCTAAAACTATTCACTGTTCCTCTAAATTGCTCACATCTTCCAGTTTCTTGTCCTTTGTGAAAAGGGGATTTTAAGCTTCAAGGACCCTGCCTTTAAGTTTCTGATTTTGTCTCCTGTTTGTATATTTGTATATTGTATATTTATGCATTTCTTTTCCTGCTAATCTGTCTGTTGTCAGTTTACTTCAGCAGATTGGGTAACTGACCCTTCCCAGGGAAATACCCTCAGCAGCCGGGTCATCAGAACATATTCTGATAGCAAATCTGAACTTCAAATCTCAGTTCTTGACAATAGAATCCTTCACACATTAAAAAGCTCCTCATGTTGGTTGACAATGAAGCTAAAATATATTTTCTTCAGGTTGGGCATCGGGGTACACACAGGAGGCTGAGGCAGGAGGATCACTGAGTTCCAGGCCAGTCTGGGCTACATAGTGAGTTCAAGACCAGCCTGAACTAAATATCAAGACTCTGTCTCAAAAAGCAAAAAACAAAAAGTTTTTTATTTATATCTTCATCATGCTTTATATCTGGCAATAGAAGCAATTTTTACCATAATTTTAACAAAATTGGGCCATCTTCCATGTATTTTTCTTCCAGATAAACATTAACCATGTTTTATCTAAGCTCAGAAATTACCAGGTGGCCTTTTTGAGTGCACTGTTTATAGATCTATAATAAACTATGATAACATTCACACTGCATTTATGCCAAAGCTCACTTTTCTCACGCTGGCCAGCAACGCCCACTTCCCCTGCAACCTGCGTTCCCTCTGGCTTTGTGACACCAAGATTCAGCCCATATAACTATCCTCGTGGCCTGTCACTCGGAAGTCCACCAGATTC